AACCAGGCAAGCGAATTGCGCTCGATAATCTGAGGCCGATTTCGCTTACGTCCTGTGTAGGAAAAGTCATGGTGCACGCAGTTCTCATTAGAGTAGCCGACTTTCTCGAAGACCGTGACGCATTCCCGCACACCATACTGGGATTCCGCCGCAATCTATCCGCACAGGATGCCCTACTTCAGCTAAAGCACTACATTGTTGACGACACTACGAGTTCCACCAAGACAATTCTTGGCCTGGATATTAAAAAGGCGTTTTATACCGTCAAACACCAATCCATACTGAAACAAGTTGAGGCATTAGGTCTAGGTAAAAAAAAATGTACAATTGCATATGTGATTTTCTTGCAAGCAGGCGCGCAAGTGTCGTGATCGCCGACCAAGAGTCACAAGATTTTGAGATGGGCTCGACGGGAACGCCACAAGGCTCCGTAATATCACCGTTACTTTTTAATTTAGTGCTATTGGGGCTACCAGAGAAATTAACTGAAATACCCGGACTGTATCACAGTATATACGCGGACGACATCAACCCTCTAGGTTCCCGGAGGAGGTTGTGACGGTCACGTCGAGAGAACGCTACAGGCGGGAGTAGACAAAGTTCAGGAGTACTTGCAAGGAACGGGCCTCGAGTGCTCGGCAACAAAGTCCGAACTTTTAATCTACAATCCCACAAGCAGGGGCTGCAAAACCCCACGTGGCGAGGGAAGGGAATTCTTCAAAATACGTGTTCTGTTGGCAGACGGCACTCCCATACCACACGTAGACAGAATTCAAATTCTGGGTTTACACATACAGGCAAATGGACATAATGGTGGGACTGTGCGCCGACTCCGTCGTTCAGTAGACGACGCGATCAGACTTTTGCGTCGTATCACGAACAGACGTAACGGTCTGCGCGAACACTGCGCGATCCGTGTCGTGCAGGCCTACGCGATAAGCCGAATAACATACGTTACCCCTTACCTCAAGTGGATAGGCTCAGAAGAACACAAAATCAACTGCGTGATACGAAAGGCTTTCAAGAGAGCTATCGGCCTCCAGATCAACGCAAGTACCGAAAGATTTCTAGAGCTAGGACTTCACAACTCACCCGACGAGTTAATTGAGGCCCATGACGTTGCGCAGTACGAACGCTTAACCAAATCAAAGACGGGTCGACACATCCTTGAGTCGCCGGGCATCAGATATCACGCCCAGCAAGACGAGAAGGTGGAGGTCCCTGCCTCAGTCCGCCACCGCTTGATCGTTCCACCGATTCCTAGGAATATGCACCCGACGCACCACTTCGGACGGCGTAACCAGCGTGCTAGACAGCTTCAAAAGAAGTTCGGTAACAGTACGGACGTGGTATACGTAGACGCCGCGAGATGTGGAGAAGAGAGAAGAGCCCACGCAACTGTGGTCGTTGATCATCAGGGCAAATGCCTCGCGAGCGCCACGGTGACTACGGGACACACGGAGGCGGCCGAAGAAGCCGCGATAGCCTTGGCACTCGCCGCAGCGCCGCATGCAGAGAATGTGATAAGCGACTCGCAGGGGGCAGTCCGCAGTTTCGCGCGCGGCCGTGTCTCGCGGGAAGCGGCGCGCATCCTTCAAATGTGCGGAGATGGCGACTCTACGTCGCGCTCTCAACCTCAAATTCCAACGGTTTTCCTCCCATGGACCCCGGCACACACCAGCGTTCAGCTCGCGGGGAACGAGGCGGTCCACGCCGCGGCTCGAGGTCTTGCTCGCCGAGCCGTGGCTCACTATGTGGCCGCCGCCTCTGACTCCGAGAGCGGGGCGGTGCATCTGCTGGATCAAGACACTTTGATAGGCACGCAGCAACAATATTCAGAATGGTCATGGGGTGATCGTCTTACAACGTTCCGTGACATTACCCAACACTATCGGCTCGATATAGGTTCCCGCCACCGCACGAGAAATTAAACAGGCGCGATGCCGTAAGCTTTCGCTTACTCCAAACCCATTCCTACCCTAGCCCGGTCGTTCAACGCCACCTCTACCCGAACCTATACCCCACCGATATGTGTAAAGCGTGCGAGCAGAGAGCAACGCTGAGCCACATGCTCTGGGAATGTGCTGGCGACGACAGTCGTGAAAACGCCACCAATCGCGATGCGCCTATAGCGGCCGTCAATACCAAACCACATGGAGCCTCGAGCTCACTCGTTCCTGCCGCCGCCCCGGCTGCGGGAGCCGCGGGGGACCTTCTTAATCGGCGTCGCCACCGCTGGGAGGCGGCCCTCCAAAGCCCAGAGCTGAACGACCAACTCTGGGCTGTCCAGCAGGCCGAGGATGCCGCCCGTGTCCAGGGACTACGAGCCGCCACCTAAAGCCACCGAGACCAAATTGCCGGCCCATTGTGTCCAATAAAGTCTTTTAAGTGTGAATACACTTTATAAGCGACCCCAAACCATACACCGCCGTCGGCGGCGTCCGCAGTCTTCTCTCTATCTTATCAGTCCGGCGGTCGCCAGGCACTTTTTGCCGGAAATCAATGGCACCTGCTCGACCTGTCATGTGCTCGCCGACACATATCACGTCGTAGCATCGTGCCCAGTTAATCCCGTCCCTTTCTCATCCCCTTTTCCTATCCCAACTAGAGAGGCTTGGGAGGAGCACCTGCTCGGCTGCTCTACCTTGGCTGCACAACGCTCCTTGGTGGAGCGCGCAAGGGCAGCTTCCAGCTCCACTGGCGTCCCGGAATAGGGTCTTGCCACTCTAGCACGCCGATGGGCCACGTCGGCACTCTCTAGTAAACTTTTTCTGAAATAAATGTTTTTTACCACCACCACCATCTCTATCTTTAAAAGAAAGAGGACTTGGCGGGCCGCAGCGCGACGCTCTACCGAAAAAGCCACGGACGCGACGCTGATAGCCCCCCTCCCCCTTCGCTCGCTCCTCCGCTCTCCTCGCTCGCTGCAGCTGCGCGCGCACCCCTCTCTCTCGCGCGCCCGCCTTCTCTCTCAGTCTCCCGTCGATAGCGGGTCGTGCGATGGATGTCCCGGAGGCAACGCTACCATCTGGATATAAGGCGCGTTACTGACACCGATATGGGCGTCGCCAACGGATTTTAACTTTACTCCCCCTCATAGCATCACCCCGTGCATTCGCACTGAACCATGTTCACCCTCGGGGAAATGCTTGTGAGTTTTTTCTCTCTCTCTCCCGAGCCCAGCAATCTGCCGTAAATCAATAAAGTTTACTTCTCTCTCTCTCTCTCATATTCTCACTCTAGCTTTTCGCAATGTCAACGCAGCGGTGAATAAAGTCGTGCGGGTGCAGTTCGATCAATCATGAAGCTATATGTCGTATCGGGTGTTTGATATTACAAGTGGGAGCTGCTTCAAATAAAAGGCTTTCACCACGCTCAACGCTTCAAATTACTCGTGAATTTTTTCTTCTTTTAGTCCTGTTTCGGCGGACATAACAAAACGTGAATGACATATCAGTCTGGTGCAACTGCAGAGGTTCTCTGTGAAGGCATAGAAAGAGCTAAAGAGGAACTAGTCGCAATGATAACAGAAAGTACTTCAACTGTTGTCAGTTCTTTGCATCAGACAGCGGGACGGCTAGTAGAGTACGAAATACTCTAAATCGTTACCTTTTTTTTAAAACACACAGTAGAGTACCTCGTGCTTTAAATCGTGAACTACTTTTTCTAAACACATAGCTGCTGCTCAAGCACTCGCCGTGAACTCGTTCATGGCGTAACTTACGTCAGCAAGGCCTCATCAAGTGCGAAGCCCACGGGACGGCTTTGTGCTCTCCCATAGTAGAGTATCTAGAACTCCGAACCGTTGCCCACTCTTTCTAAACACATTAAGACTATTCTTATTCGGTCATTCAAAGCTTATTCGGTCATTCCAGCAACCCCACATATCAATGAACAAATATAGACCAAGCGAAGTACAAACATGAACAAAAGAGAAAAGGTAAACAAGCGTGAGTTCACAGGGTTTTTTTAATTCCCTTCACCTGTAGAAGGCTTTCTTCTCTAGAAAAATTAACCTTCATCGCATAAAAAAAGAAAAAAAACGTGTGGGGGTTAATCATGCCGATATCAATGTGCTGCCAGTCGAGGTGACCTCCCTGCATTGCTGTATTTATTTTCTCTCTCTCTCTCTCCATGCGCGAGTACTTTCGTTCAGTCATCACAACATATATAACGTAAAAGACGCAGTACTATATCGGTTCCGTATATTTTTGACACTTATCTGCATGAAGTGTTATCCGTAATATACGTTTATACAATGACCTTGATAGCATGTTCAATGGTTTGTGTAGCGTCGCTACTGTTGTCTGTTACGTGTCAGTACAGGGAATAAAGAAACCAATACAAGTGGTGGTAAACAGATATTAAAGCGCTGAAATGTCAGTTCAAACATAAATTTTACTCTGATAACTCTACCGTCCTTAATTTCAGCACCACAGTTTCATTAAGATGCATGCATGTGCTTATAGCATTCGACATAGTGCTCACTCCTTGCCGCGTGACGATACGCCTCGCCTCTGTCGTAGGTCACATACCCCCCCCCCCCCCTTTTTTTTATCAGTCCCATAGATTGACATGATAAGGATGGAGGTGCTGAGACGAACCTTCGCCTCCCTCTCCCTCCCCCCCTCCTCTGAAGGGGAACCCTACGCACGCTTATGGGCCGGTTGGTTATACGCGATAGGCTATCGCGTATTGCCTATCGTGTATATAGCCTATCACGTGTACCACATCGCATGCAACCTATCGCGTATAGAGGTGGGGAAGTTGGTCACTTAGTGCATTTTTGTATCGTTCTGGTAGCCAGCACGTTGATGCGGTTTCAACTGCAATCGTTTCGACTCAATAGGCATGGGGTTTTAGCAACGTCTTACTCGTTTATTTCATAGCTTAGAACGAATCACACATTTCAACGGATATTGAGCACTCGCGATTGCACACTACAGAAAATCGTAATTAACGTTGAATTATGGTATCAAGAACGCGTTTCGTCCCGATTGTCAGGAGGGCTCAACGAGCAGCGCATCCATCGCCGGTGCGTCGTGCTTATCGGCGTCAGCGGCGGCGTTGCGGACGACGACGTCCCTGTTGGAAGCCTGTGGAGCTCTGACCCTCGCGTCGAAGTTCATGCCGACGAACAGGGCCACCGCCGTGAAGAAGCTGATCACCTCCAGGAGCAGGAAGACCGCCGACCAGCCGTAGTGCTCAGCCACCAGGCTGAGCGGAAAACCCGATATGACGCCCCCCACTGCGCGCCAGCCAGGCAAGACGTGAGATGCAAGAACTCCGAAGGCCGTTAAACAGGTACTGGCACCCTTTCTCAAAGGGGATACACTCTGACATACAAATATATTTTATAAATAGATGGCTGTGAGATATAAAACTCAATTTTCCCATGGCGGACCCACCGACATCGGCAACAGCTTGACGTCACGTTAGAGTGCTAATTCTGGTGCCTTCATGCAGCAGACTGGCAAGTTTTGATGACGTCAAGTACCGAAGCTTCGAAATTGGCCGTTTTTGTGTCATAGAGTCAGGGTGTGGAGCGGTCGCGGAAACGTCTCGACGTCTTGGTAAGACGATAGTTGTAGCACGAGAACATAACGACGACACATAGACAAGAAGGACACGAAGGACACGAGCGCTTGTCTCTGTGTCGTCGTTCTGTTCTCGCGCTATAACTATCGTCGTGCTATACCAACTAGCCCAAGCTGCCACACTTCTAAGTCTTTGTAAGCCCGCGACGGGAAGCTAATGCCATGTGGTGGCGGTCAGGTTACAGTATAGAACCGAAACTTGCTGTTGAAGACACGTTGTAAATATCTCTCAGGGTCTACTCCCGCTTATCAGGACATTTTTCTAGGCTCGTTAATATTTGCCCTCCAATCCGACGCGAGAGAATTAACCGACGAGCATTCTTTGTCGGTGCTCATCCAAGCGTTAAGCTGCGTTCGTGTATGCCGACGGGCGAACAGTACTCGCCACCACTCACGGCTTCCGCCGAAGGCCACGATGGCGTGCGACGTGCCCGACAGGTGCGTGGGCACGCACTCGGAAGCCACCACGCCGAAGATGGCCATGGCCCCGTACAGGCAGCCGCCCATGACGAGACCGATGAGGCTGATCAGCAGCTGCGCGTGTGAGGGAGCAAAGGGGAGAGGTTTTGAGCGCACTCTTACAGCATCTTATTTCCGTCTTCATTAGACACATATATGTATTTGACTTTATTGACCGACCACTTGGCCAGTCACCCATTGTGAAGCATCGGATCAACACCGGCGATGCCAATCCAATACACTGGCAACTCTATTGTGTTTCTACCACTTAGCGTCAAATTATACAAAAAGAAGTTGACAAAATGCTTGCCCGGGACATAACAGAACCTCTTCAAGCATTTGGGTTTCCCCTGTCATGCTCGTCAGAAAGTAGGAACACAGCTGGCGCTTTTGTGTCGACTACAGAAACCTCAACAAGACAACCAAAAAATTATACGTGTACCCCCTACCACGGATAGATGACGCCCTTGACTGATAGTTAACCGTTAGCGTGACAGAGGAGGTTAAGGCAATGGCGTTACCGTGAAGCAAACGTTCGTTGTGGACAGCGTCTTATAATTTAGCGGGATAACGCTTACGTGGTTTACGTGCCCCAGCTGGGGCGGTGGCGCCACCTATCGAATGGTTCATAAGTTAAAGAACAGTGAAAATGAAAAGAAAATGAGAATGTTATATATAGAATGTTTATACACGATGTATATATAGTGAGGGTTTAAAGGATATGCACACTGAAGTTAAGCAATTCAGAATTTGCCCCCCCCCCCTATTAGCTGTAGGGGGGGGGCACCTCTCCATCCCTGTGCGCACGCCTCTGCGCATACAATAGATGCTGCAAACAGTGGATTGTCAGTGCGACAGCGGTTCACATATGTGCGTTGACTTTTGTGCGCATGCGTGCACTGAGCGCGGCTCCACATGCTCATGTTTTGCGGCAAAGGCGGCGCCCGCATTTTAGCGTGCAACACTTATTACACCATAGGCCGCACCGAGCAGGGAATAATAATGATATGCATACTTCAACTCTGAGCACCAATTATGGTGCTAACGGGAGCGTGGATACCACGTACAACGAAGTGAACAACTCCATAATTCAGCTTAACATCACTTCCGCTATGGGATGCGCGACATACCCGCGTTTCCTGACAATTTTACACGCGATTTAAACTCCGATCACGAATAAAGGATGCTTGATTCTGTCTTTATATTTCACGGTCTTTTCATTTCCGCAAGCATATAACCACGTGTACAGGTCAGCTGTTGGTTCCTTTCAAGTTCGTCGAAATAAATAATAAAAAAAAGTGCCGCCATATCCACGAAGTGAATGATGATGAGTGGGCGAAGCTCCAGAGGTAAACCTGGTAAACCATGAATACTCTGTACATTTTGCCCACTCGACTTTATTACAACGCTTCTCCTAGCGTACGTCGCCGCACTATATCGAACAATTGCCTTCCACCAATGACACGCGCCATATGTGAATTCATTCCTATTTTATACCATCTCGCATATTTCATCATCAACTACAAGTACCGCCGTCTAGATTATAAAATCTTGCATCTTTTAATCATCAGCTACAAGTACCGCCATCTAGTGAACACTGCAAGAACTAAACGAGAGGTGGCTACATACAGGGGACGCACAGCCCATGCCTTAAGGAGCTCCGTCCCTAAAAAAGAACACCACTTAATTGATCCCGACACACCACTGGTGTAGTCAGGGGGCGACACAGTAAGGGCCGTGCCCCCCCCCCCCTTCTGGACTTTTTTTTTGCCATAGCATATACACACTACAAAGTGACACGCTTCCACACATGACTGCCCAGCCCACCTTTCCGATCAAAGATATACCCCCCCCCCTCCTCCCCGACAAAATCTCGACCTACGCCTCGGCAGCACACCTCCATTATTTAATTTGAGTACTCAAGCATTCCAACAGCATGAAGTCGCTAACAAATGACGTCATCAAGGCAGATGTCTTTTACCCGCTGCGCTAGCTTATGCTCTTAACGCAATAGAACTGACCAATTGTTCTTGAAGAGACGTGCATTATTTACCTCTGACGTGTGTTGCGTGACGTTGTTGCTGAACAGGTGAAAGGCTACGGCGGCACCGGCCACTAGAACCACCGACACGGGAACCCTGGGGCTTGTTCCACCGGCGCCACCCTGCGGTTACGATGCAACACTTGAGTCGACGGCCAGATGGGCTGGAAGCTTGTGTCCTAGTTAAAGCAGGGCCTACGAGATGACCATCTTGGCAGCCATGGTTAAAGTAATGAGCTCGCCGTGGTATCGTACGTGGCATTGAAACAAAACAACAACAAAAAAAACGTCGCAAAGAAGTGCGGGTGAGTAACAGTAATATGCGCTATAGAAAAGAAACATTCAATAGTTAAGTTGCCTTGTCAGAGCGATAATAAGCTAACTCGTATTCAAGAGAACATTTTGTTGGGCGAGTTGGTGGACGTTCATACTACTATAGACCCTTCAGTCACAATTCGCAAGCGCGCTTCTCTGCACTGCATATTTGTCCAAGAAATGGCGGCACCTTTCGCGCTTCAAGCGGATGCGTGGTCCAGACTCTGGAGTTTTGCGGACACGCATCGCCACCTGTCCACGCAGTTTTGGGTAGTGCAAAGCCCCATTTCCTTGCACAGTTTGCTTTGCAACCATATGCAACTACATAGTTCAAAACAACGACTGAGCTAAATAATATGTGTATTTGCGCATTGAACATTTAGAAAGAGATCTACGAATTTCTCTGTTAGTCCGACGCGTCACCGAACCGCCATGAAGTGCTTGCTGGTCCACTCGCCAGAACGACGGCGGAAACAAGAGCAGACGCAACAGCTCCGCGCTCTACGAAAAAACTCCCAAGCATTTCCCCGAGGGTGAACATGGTTAAGTGCGAATGCACGGGGTGATGCTATGAGGGGGAGTAAAGTTAAAATCCGTTGGCGACGCTGATATCGGTGTCAGTAACGCGCCTTATATCCAGATGGTAGCGTTGCCTCCGGGACATCCATCGCACGACCCGCTCTCGACGGGAGACTGAGAGAGAAGGCGGGCGCGCGGGAGAGAGGGGTGCGCGCGCAGCTGCAGCGAGCGAGGAGAGCGGAGGAGCGAGCGAAGGGGGAGGGGGACTATCAGCGTCGTCACGCTGCGGCCCGCCAAGTCCTCTTTCTTTTAAAGATAGAGAGAAGACTGCGGACGCCGCCGACGGCGGTGGATGGTTTGGGGTCGCTTATAAAGTGTATTCACACTTAAAAAAGACCCCAGTCGACACTACTGTTGCTTTGTGAATTGCTACGGACGTAAAGGACTTCCGTTTCACTGATTTCTGCTGCTTTCGCGAAGCACAACGGCGTAAGCGCTGGATAAGGGCCGTTGCGAACGTGTTCGGTGAGTGAATTGCTCGCGTTCTCCACAGCCGTTCGCTGAATAAGTGTGATAATGTAGGTCTCCTGTTATTGTTTTAAGTAGCCTTGACGGAGAACCGTAGTAACTTTGATTGTGGAGCTTAACAGACCATCTGACCGCGTGCGCGACGTGCAACAGTATAGACAGGTGACGCCCGAACGCGATAAAACATTGCACATGCTGCGACCGTCGATAATCTGAAGTTATCGCCGCCACAGAGCATTAAACACACCGGGGCTTTGAATGCTCCAAGTGCCGGCTTTAACTAGGGAATGCGAACACGTGCGTCATGCAGGTAAATCGCAAAAGGATCGTGACCACAAAGAGGTTTTTTTTATTTTTTTATTTTTGACGTTGGTCTCCGGCATCACCGGAGCTATCTCGGAGGCATTGGATTTGCCTTTCGTTGTACACTGAGAAAGTGGACGCGCATGTATCCATATTTGCAGTATATACACATGGAAGACAACCGTTAACAGTGAATTCGAGCATGCGTAATAAGACACGTCAATGCACAGCAAGCAACTGCAAGCAAGAATGGAACTGCAAAGCGAAAATCACCGGGGACTTTCGTGCCGGATGAAGCGAGCTTCATACATCTAATCGCATAGATTGTTCGCGTATGCACTCAGTATAGTGCTTGCCTCTAACTCGATGTCATGCAATGCTCGCTTGCACTTAGATTGTCAGGTGCAGCACACCAAAATAAATTATATGCGTTCTGCCCGCATTTCGTTTAGATGAGCTTCCCATTTTTATGAAGCGAGTTTGGATTGAAGGAATACGCTTGTCAGGTCGTTGATTTTCAGGAAACCGCGCCTCGAAACAAACGAAAGAGGAGGGCCTATGCACGTTCGCTTGAGGACGGCTTTCTGTGCACTACCCAATTATGGCCGGCGCGGCGACGGGGGCGCTGGTGGCGGCGTTTTTCGCAGCACCGCCTCGGCAGAGTCTGACGTCCATATAGTTGAACGTGCCGGGACATGTCTGGTATGAGTGCTTATACCAATTCCAGGCCATTTCATAAGCAAACCGCGCTTGAACAGGATATTTGCAGTTAGTGACTTGCCGACAAGATCCGTTCAAACTGCATAGCAGGAAAGCTAACTTTACAATTTTTTAAAAGGGTGTAGTGAATTTAGGGCGCGGAAAGAGACGCAACCACAAGGGAGAACACGGTACAATAGACCCATTCCATAATTATAAAGCTAGCTTTCCTGCTGTGCAGATTGCCCTAATAATGACGGCTAGTCACTTTCTGCAAACAGAGTGTTCAAGCGCAGTTTACTTGCAATAATACATGGAAAATATAGGTTTAGCTATCTCGACATTACTGCACGACTCGATCGCTGGATTTCGTGCCGACCGGTTGTGCCCTCGCGATATCCGACGTCAGCGTAGCTCTGGCCGACTGGGCTGGCCCTACGCCAACTCCTGACGCCGATCTTCGACGACAGCGTAGCTCTGGCCTACTGGACTTGCCTTACGCCATCTCCTGACGCCGACAAGAGCTCTCGCCAGTGGTGCCCCGTCCTCAGACTCCTGCAACAGTGTCCATCTTTCCTGTCTTCTTACTTCCGCCGTTCGCTGTCCCTGCGCCTCGTTCTCTCCTTCCTCTCTCTCTCTATCTCTTTATTTTTCTCTATCTCTATCCTATCATTTTAATCCCTTCTCTACCACCACTCCTCGGGAGCTACTGTGGAGGTGTCCTCCCCCTGAGAGACTGTTACGGGGCTCACTTTTCTTTTCTTTTCAACAGCTTCAAAAACTTGGGCGTAACGTTCACTAGTAATCTTTCCTGGAACTTGCACATAGAAAACATCTGCTCCTCCGCTTTTCGAAAAACTGTGTTTCTTGAGACACAAACTTCGTAATTCGCCTCCAAGTGTTAAACTTCTTTGCTACCATTCATACGTTAGACCAAAACTTGAGTATGCTGCTGTAGTATGGGACCCGTATACCAAAAATAACATCGATAAATTGGAAAAGATTCAGAGGAAAGCTGTCAGGTTCATTTTTTTCAAAATTTCGTCGCACGGATTCTCCCTCTGAATTAATGATTGCCAATAACATTCCCAAGCTTCAGTTAAGAAGACAAAAATTTCGTCTCGATTTCCTCTGCTCACTTACTAAACATGAATTGGCTATCGAGCCCTCCCTGTATATATCCGCCCTGACCACAAAACACACGCGGCACCATAACCCTAGATCGCTAACACCATACCAAGCGCATGCCGACACTTACAAATTTTCATTTTTCCCGCGTACCGTGGCTGAATGGAATTCCATTGCTGAGCCATACTTATTAGATACTGTATAGCCCCATTTTTTGTTAGTGTTGTTAATTGTGTGTTGGATTGACAATGCAATGTCCGCCGTTTCATTTTTTGTCCCTTTTGCTATTTTTGTATTATTGTGCTATTCAAGTGCTCGTCCTGCCAGGACCACAACTGTGGTCTGCAGTATGTATTAAATAAATAAATAAATAAATATAGTCACTTGCCCCCCCCCCCCCATTACTGCGCGTAATAGACGAGCCCCAGCGTGTTTAACATAAGATCTGGTCTCCATTTGAAGAAAGAAAGGTGCCGCCATTAGTAGAGCAAACACTTTTGACAGTCTCGTGGTCTCACTAATCTGTGCGCCCGATAGAGGAGAGATAGAGCAGGAACCTAACATCTTGGCATGCCACCGCCCGGCTGGCATACCAAATGAGCTATGACACGGTCGCCAAACAATATGAGGTTTTGAGCGAAAAACATAAAGAGAGTCCATCGTGCCTTTATATGCTCCTTAGGAAAATATTTGATGCAGCAGAAATTCGCCAGATTTAAACCCCGGCCACCTCCGGCGACCACCGTTTCGTCATGACGTGTGTGACGTTACAAACTTTTTGTCATTGCGAATCGTTAAGTTTCAACGCCAAGCTGAAAAAAAGCCGAAATGGCTCGATTTAACGCGCAGCTGACCACATAACAAAATTGTTCGCTCTCAGAGCAAGCACCTTGTTACGTCACAACTAGCAAGCCGCACTAGTGTTGTCCAACTCTCAGACTGCTCACGTGTTTAGGAATATATTCAATTATAAAGTAAGTGCCCAACCAAGCGCGTTAGGATATCCTCAAATCATGCGCGAATGCACAAGAATTCACCCACAAACACATATTACAATAGGAAGTCTTGCGCTAGGGTCCCTTTAAGACACGAGGCATCGGCTTTGTGTTAACTTCTATATCACGAACAATCCTCGCGTAATACGTTAGTGTGAATTCGTTCCCAGCTTTTTAGAGGCAATGGTGGTTTTGGTTTTCGCCGTAACAGTAGTACAGTGTACGAAGGGTAAACCACCTTGCTGGAGCGCCAGACGATCATCCAGTCCGTTACGTAGCCAGCCGTGATGCCACCGAGGAAACCGCCACCTTCGATACAGCTCATGAAGGCACTGGCTGCAAATACACGCACAAAATAAATAAAAAAAAAAGCATTCAAATCATCATAATATTTGCGGTTTACCGTCCGTTGGTCCGGAAGGACGGACGGACAGAAAAAAAGGACGGACGCACGGATGGACGCACGCAAGGATGGGGGAAGCACGAACGGACAAACAGACTGGTGCACGGACGGACGGATGGATACTTCGCCCCGCTCATAATCATTCCCTCCGTGAGTATGCTGTGAAAACCACTAACGCCATCTAGTTATATTATTCCCAAGGACATATATACACACAACGCCATATATTTTGCAAGTCATAAATTAGAGGTGACTATATATATATATACATGCATACACATGGAGGAGGGAACAACCCACGGCCTAAGAAGCTTCGCCCCTAAAAACATTCAAACCATAATAATATCTGGGGTTTAACGCCCCCAAAAGCACTATATGATTATGACAGACGCCGTAGTGGACGGCTCCGGAAGTTTTGACCATCTGGTCTTCTGTAACGTGCATTAACATCGCAGAGTATACGTGGACCTCTACGGTTTCGCCTCCATCGAAATGTGCCGGGTTCGAACCCACGACCTGTGGGTCAGTGGTTCAGCACCATAACAACTGCTGGACCGCGGCGGACAAGAAGACCATTCAGTCCTTCATTCATTGGCTCACCGCAAAAAGACATTCTGAAAACAGACCAATCGGAAAATTCATCCTTGAATATATCTATAGTCGAATACAACGTTAAAAGTCAGCGGCGTTTCCTTCTCAAAGGCGTATTCACACAAGCCTGAACAAATCGGCGTGCATTCCGGGCTGTCGGTGGTCCTGTAATGGCCGAGTTAATGAGAGCGATTGTGTTAGTCGTGAAGCCATCGGCCACCTGGCCGGGACCTCCCCGAGCTTTTTAGAATGACACGAAAGATATATTAGGAATGTCTTGAGTACGAAAGTGTCTCAGATTAAAGTAATCTGTGCATGTATGTTTCTTTTGGAAATAAGATTTTCTTAAAAGAGAAACTATGACTTGGTTCAGGTTGACGAGCTGCACTATGAGAACTCTTAATACCATACGTTTAACTATATCATAAGTTCATTGTTAGCATTATCATCCCCCCCCCCCCCACGTTTCACGCTTAACTGAGAACAACAATGTGGACGCGTCCAACAAGCGCTATTTGCTTAGAGAATACGATCTTTCAAGCAGAACCTGTGTAGATTTGAACACCAGCTAACTCCACCCGAGTCCTCCACATCCTCCACAACGTGCAACAGAGCATTCCTTACTTCATGCCAATAAGAGCAACCGTTACGCCACACACCATCACGCTACGCGCCATCTCAGCACTTTATCACAAAAACTCTCGTCTCTACCTGCGAACTGGGACTGCTTGAGGTCCTCGATTATGTATATCTGACCCCAGTCGGCGGCACCGGTGCGCACGAAGAACATGGTCAGGTAGGACGCCGACAGTAGCCAGATGAACGGGCTGCTCAGCAGGGTCCCAGTGGTGGCCGCGGAACCGGTGAGTTCTTCTTCCTGCTGCCCCATGGCCACTGCGCCGTTCTGTGCTATCCCTGCTGGTGCAAGGGGGAAGGGAGCCACTGAGCACGAAGCGGTTACGAGGAAGAGGTGAGGTGACCGCAGAAATGGCGCAAAAAAAAAAGGGGGGGGGGGTCACGACGTCATATATGCATACATGTGCACTTAAGACGACTAGAACGCGAAAGCCATAGTCTTAAATTTAATTTTTTATTCTTTATTTTTTATTCATGAAATTCCCCGCAGCACCCCAGGACGTTACAGCGAGGGGGGGGGGGTTCCATCAATGAATTATGTACATCATCGCAACCACAGAAAATAAATCAATAACTGAAATACAACTGTATTCACACACATAATACAGTTATTTTCACACATAAATACATCTTCATTCAGCTTACAGCACGGAATTACAGCATTGAATAAAATAGATCTACATTCGCACTATGTACTTGCTTTTCAGTTATCTTATTCCACTGTTTAACTGTTCTAGGAAAATATGAATTGGCATACATGCTCGTTTCAGCTTGGTATTCCGGGATCTTGCAACTATGATCTCAACATTACTTCACACCTCTTTATTCGGCCAGGGCCACCTATGGCTATAAATATATGGGAACCGATCAGGTTCCCTCTGCTTTTAGCCTTGCGCCCCTAATGAAAGCTATACGCCTTTTTTTTTTAAACAAGAGAGTGCACTATACTTGGTCTCACCTGTCCTTGCAGGAGAGTCAGTGGGAGCGTGACTCGACCTCGGACTTTCCTTCACACTCAGGCCGACATCGCTCGGCTTGTTGACGACGGTGAAGAGAGACAAGGCGCCCAGGACAGCGCATATCACGCCTGCGGTGCCCAGAATTGGAGCGATTAGCCAGCGTCTATGTCTGTCTCACTACGACCAATTCACTTGCAGCAAGAAATCAGCTTTTGAGCTTGTTGTAAAACGGCAAAACCATTTGGAACTGTTGAGGCAAAAGCTGAGGTGCCTTTTCGCTTCGCCGCATCATGATCACGAGCGATATCACCAAGCCTGAACAGGGCTTGCGATAAGCAGCAGCACTTACCAAAATTTTGGTGAGGGCACCACCGAAATTTTTCCACCGGACATTTTCGATGGAGGCGGAAATGCTGCAGGCCCGTGTGCTCAGATTTGGGCGCACGTTAAAAAAACCCCAGGTGGCGAAAATTTCCGGAGTTCTCCCGGGCATCTCTCATAATCGTATGGTGGTTTTGGGACGTGAAAACCCTCATAAAACCGCGTGAGTGCTAGCGAGCTTGAACACGGTCAGGGGCATACCCGGAATCATTCTTTGGTGGGGGACGGGTAGGGGAGTGGGGTACATCAACCTGCCCCCAACCCCTCTGATTGTGCCAATGTATACGCTGAAAATTTCACGGCGAATGTGAGCTGGAAATAGCAATCGTAGTCAGTAAATTATTGCCATATCCGTCGTCGAGCTAACGGTTCCTTGACATATGCCCGCGTATATGAGTGAATGTACGGCAGTCGGGCACACAGTTTCCACTAAATAACAGAGGACACGCACCTGTGAAACCGACGCTTACGCGCCAGTTGTAGGCGACCATCAGATACGATGACAGGAACGGGGCTATGCTCAGCGAAACGTTGGCCGAAGCCGCCAGCACGCCGTACAGCGTTCCAAACTGTGCTTGTAGAAACCACTGCGACGAAGAAGAGTGCAGCTGTCGTCATAAGGCGAAGCGTTCGCACAGTGAAAGACGCGGCAAGAAGCAAAGACGACTCGGTAATTCTGAAAATAACCACGCGTAGGTGATATACACTAATGATTCGACCATTCCAGCGACTATATGGGCGGCGCAGCGGAAAGTCGAAATGGCGGACGAGACGTTGATGCTGCGAGCGTTTACGTCAGTGTCGTAGAGCGTGAAGACGCGTTCATTGGGTCCAAGACCAGATCTTGGATTGGGCCAAGAGAGTAGCGGAGACCTACGCTGCATGGGTAGGCTCCTCTCACACTCCACCACTGCATCTTTTCCTCTTGAGATAAATAAAGTTTTTCTTCTCTCTTCTTCTCTTACGACTACTGAGAGACTGAACTGCGTCGCTGTTTCATCACCGTGTGACAGCTTCGGAGCACGGCTATACATGACACCGCCTGCGTCGCTGGAATGACCGAATGGCTGGGCGACATTGGTGCTGGCCAGTTGCGATTTATCAGCTTCGAAAATTCTGTGGCACAATGATTATATTACAGCATGGGGAAAAAAAGGGGGGCAGAGGGGCATGAATAGAGGGGCGCGTTTCTATGAGCGATGAAAAGCAGTTAAGCCAGTATGAACAGTTTTTAGAGTATAGATACGAAAAGTTTCGCGTAAGCGCTACGTGATTCTGCGCATGCGCCATACCGTACGATTCAGTACGACGTCATCTTGAGTACCCACGATAAGTTACGGAAACAGCTAGTGCAAAGTACCCAAGCAATAGTAACGAACAGGCCCTCACCGCTGTGGTCTAGTAGCTAAGGTACTCGACTGCTGACCCGCAGGTCGCGGGATCGAATCCCGGCTGCGGCGGCTGCATTTTCGATGGAGGCGAAAATGCTGTAGGCCCGTGTGCTCAGATTTGGGTGCACGATAAAGAACCCCTGGTGGTGGAAATTTCCGGAGACCTCATAATCATATCGTGGTTTTGAGACGTTAAACCCCACATATCAATCAACCGTAACGGACACGATTTTTTAAGAATGCCTGATATACAGTTTTATAATAAGGTTTGTAGCATTTAGTTAATTTGGTACATACTTTAACTGTATGACTCCTGAGTAGCGGTCATGTGATAGAAGACCTGTTACATCTGACATAAATGGGTCATTTCCGAACGGCATTCGACGCCAGGTTCCGAGAAGTATATCGATTTATACTGATCTCTAGGATGACCGAAATGTCGATGCCGATTCTGAAATGAAGTTTTTGTTCCTCGGTTACGTTTTCCACGTGGTGACTGGATGGGGTGCCTGTTTAGAAAAAAATTATTGCCACAAACGTCAATAACACTCAACAGAACATTTCCTTCTTAGACATACTCTAACGATGATGACAAAACAGACGTCATTTACATGAACATGGATAAGAGATGACGTTGAAAGAACATGATGGGTTGCCTAGAAAAAAACGTATATCCACGAAGTGAATGCTGATGATGGGCTGAAGCAGTGTGCATCAAATGATGTGTCGTGGCCTTTTATTGTGTTCTGGTTACCAGCCTTTTATTTTGTTCTTGTTAACATTTTGTTCTGCGATAACATATTGTTCTGTGATTGATGAGTGGTTAAATGCCAACGTTCTTCCGGTGTTTTAGCTTTTTATTTTGTTGGTTCTGGTTAACAGTCTTTTAGATAACCTCTTTGTTGTTCACAGATGTTTCGGTTTCTACATCTGCTGCGGACGCCGGGCGGCGGTTCATGTACGGAGGGACATTGTGCGGTCTCAAGGTGTTGCCCCCCCCCCCCCGTTAAAAAAAAGCAATAATGTCGCTGGCGAAAGCTCATCGGGTCACGGACCCACTTGTTTGAGACTCCTGGTTTGTGGAATGCCGACCTGTTGGAGGACCTTGATGAGCGAGGGCCATCCACAGCCCTGTGCGCAGCCGTTGAGGAACCAGAGTACCGCGAACACTTCGACGGACACGGAGGCGACGGCTGCCAACACGATGGTGAACGCGGCCGAGAGCAGCAGGCCGCTGGCGAACAAGAGGCGAGAACTGACGCGGTCCGACAGCACGCCGAACAGCAACTTGCTGCCGGCGTACGCCAGGTTCTGGCTGCTCAAGACTGCACCTGCCAGCGGGGATGTCATGTAGAGTCAGCCCAGGGAAGCCGAATGCAAACTTTTTTTTATCGTGCCCATCCTCAAATGGCGACTGCGCCCGCCTACTTCTGGAAGGAGAAGGGGGTAACAGCTTTTCCTTTTGAGGCACATGTCACGACGAGTGCTGTGGCGCGAAATGAAGACGAGGACGTCCTTGTTTGTCTCTGTGCCCTCGTCTTCGGTTATTGCTATTGCACTCGTCTTGAGACACGCTTTCATTACAGCAATTATTTTTAAACATCCTCAAGTTCACTTACATGGTAAGGGAAAGGCTCGCATCACGTTCGGCCTTGGTGGATGAAAATCCCGTAGAGCATATGTGGTCCACAAACTTCGAGGGCGCTGTCACCACTAACCACGTGGACTTCATCCGCTGCTCTCAGTCTCGGCGTGCTTTGAACACACTAGCAATGGCGAGAGGAATCTTGATGCCGGAAGGCACAAACAAACGGTGCAAAGGAACAAGCGAGAGTGCAGCTGAACTTCATTGTAAGTTACAACGAAGACTGTTATAGCAAATTATCGGATACAGCGATATAAGTGCAAACTTTGGTTGACCACGCTTCATTTTAATTACGCTTAATAATTTTCTAACTAAACCTGTAATGCGAATACCTCCGCAAAAGGTAGCATAAAAAGCGAATTACTGAAAGTCAATTCAAGCCTTTATGTATATATATATATATATATATATATATATATATATATATATATATATATATATATATATATATATATATATATATATATATAAGGGAAAGAAGTGTATAGCTAAGGGCTCGTTTTTCCGTGTTTTAACACAATAATAATGAGATCTAACAGACAGTAATGCCAAGGAATGTACAGGAGAAGTTATTAGAACGAATGTATGTAAATAAGAAGAAAGAAAAGTGGATGAAAAAATAACCAGCCGTGAGCAGGAATCGAACCTACGACCTTCTAATAACGCGTTCGATGCTCTAACCACTGAGCTACCACAGCGGCGTTCCCTCCATCCACTTTTTTGGGTTTATATGTGAATTTAGAAGTAGGAGTGACAGTCAGCGCCATCTATAAGCCAAACGACGAGTGTGAAAACACTCTTATGCGCATGTTTGGCGTCACGTAGCACGTGAACTTATTATGAGCGGGCAGCTGATTAATTGTCCCTCTTATACAACCTAAACACACCAAGTCTGCCAGTACGAGACCCTCGTTCAATGAAAATAAGGGAAAGAAGTGTATAGCTAAGGGCTCGTTTTTCCGTGTTTTAACACAATATTAATGAGATCTAACAGACAGTAATGCCAAGGAATGTACAGGGGAAGTTATTAGAACCAATATATGTAAATAAGAAGAAAAAAAAGTGGATGAAAAATATAACCAGCCGTGAGCAGGAATCGAACCTACGACCTTCGAATAACGCGTTCGATGCTCTAACCACTTCCTCTTCGTCGGCTTCTCCTAGAATCACCTTGTGAATGCGTCACACTTCCCCCTCCCCTCGAGAAAGTCTCAGTTCAGAAGGTTCAAAATAACGCCGCAGTTTGCTAACATGCACAATGTCAGAGTTTCTACGTAAGGGTAGCACGGAGCGGTTGATCTCATAGTTCACTGTTGAGACCTTGCGTAGAATCTTGTAGGGTCCTTCCATGACAGAACTCAGTTTGCCGTTGTTGGGATGCCATGGTGTCTCGTAAAGGACAAAGTCACCGACTTGGAACTCAATCGGAAGAAATTTTCTATCATAAATGACTTTGTTTTTATTATGGTAGGCGATAGAATTGGTAACTGCAGTTTTTCGCGCTTCTTCGACGGTTTCTTCTCGTTGTTCCAGTACAGTAGGATAAGATGGAATTCCATACATCAGGAAGGAAGGTGCGTAGCCGGTCACTTCGTGGGGTGTTCTGTTGTATTCGTCAATTACCTCCGGAAGCAGCTTAGTCCAAGACTTCTGTGGTTCGTCCTTGATGTTACATTTAAGTCTCGTTACGATGGTCTGGTTTGTCCGCTCGTTCATACCGTTGCATTGTGGATGATGAGATGAGGTGAATATTTGGTGTATACGATTATGTTTTAAAAACTGCTTGAATTTTCCTGCTGCAAATCCTGTTCCACGGTCTGAAAGGAGCTTCCGTGGTTTTCCAGAAGAAAAAATTGTTTTTAAGCATGAAATGTAGGCGTCGCTGTTCTCACTTTTATGAGCAAACGACCACACGTAGCGAGTCGCATGATCAATAACCAAGTGTATAAACCTTTTTGACGAGCCATATTCAGAAAATCCTCCTATTGTGTCTATTGCAAAGAGGTCGAAGGGCTCTTCAGCTGGAGGCAGTGATTCAAGCATCCCAAACTTTTTTTGTTTTCGTCTTCTTGCATCTCTGGCATGTATCACAATGCCGAATGTAAGTGGAAACATCGGTTACCATATGCGGCCAATAATATTGTGGAGACAGGAGTGACAGCGTCTTCTTCACTCCGACATGCCCAAAATGTTGATGTGCATTCTTCAGAATGGTTGGGCGTAGTTCATGGGGCACGTATATTTTCCGTAGTCCTTTTCTTTTAACAATGATGATGTTATTTTCCAATGAGTGTGTTTCTTTTGGACGCTCATTGTTGCATCGCTGAAGGTCGTCGTGTGATAGAAGATTAACTATTGGGGCTCTGGAGAGCGCATCTGCTTCGACATTACTTGCGCCCTTTTGATGTTTGATGTGCATATCATACATTGACAGTTTCAAAGACCACCGGAAGAGACGACCTTGAGGATTTTTAACATTCTTCAGCCACTGGAGTGCAGAGTGATCTGTTACAACAGTGAATGACTTTCCATGAAGATAGCAATGCCATTTATCAATTGCATCTACAATGGCAAGACATTCTCTTTCTGTAATAGCATAGTTCACCTCGTGCTTAAGCAGTTTGTGGGAATAGTAAGCAACAGGATGTTCTTTGCCTTTGTCATCAGGTTGTTTCAGCACTGCACCGATGCCTTCGCCAGATGCGTCACAGTACACAGTACATGGTCTCGAAGGGTCGTATATGCGAAGCACCGGTTCTTCAGTTATCCGCTCCTTCAGTTCACGAAAGGCTTGCTAGCATGCTTCTGTCCACACCCACTTGCTGCCTTTGTGGAGTAGTTTTGTGAGTGGAAGAGCGATATCGCTGAAGTGGGAGATGTACTGACGGTAGGCGTTTACAGTGCCCAGAAAACGCTGGAGATCTTTTTTTCGTTTTGGTGTAGGAAATTTGAGTATGGCAGCCACATTACTTTGCTTAGGTGTCACTGTTCCTTGTGAAATTTTGTGGCCCAGGTGTTCAATGCTGCAGCGTGCAAATTGGCACTTTTTTCGTTTGAGTTTTACGTTCTCGGTTTTGAGAGCATTCAATAGCGCCTCAAGGTGTCTTATATGATCACTATATGTCTCTGAGTATACGACCACATCGTCAAAGTATTTAATAACATTGGTGAGCCGATGTTTCGCTATTATTGATTTCATGGCTCTTTCAAATGTAGCTGGAGCGTTCTTCAACCCAAACGGCATTACCAACCACTCAAAATGACCATCAGGCGTGACAAATGCAGTTTTCTGAACATCGTCAGGATGCATTTGGACATGCCAGTATCCCGACGTTACGTCCAACGTAGTGAAAAACTCCGCCTTTCCGAAGTGGTCAAGAATATCATCTATACGTGGAATTGGTTGAAAGTCGGGTACCGTTTTGGCATTGAGTTTCCGGTAGTCAATACATAGACGAGTGCAACCTTCACCTTTCTTTTCTGCTAAAATGACAGGTGCGGCGTAGGTCGATAATGAAGGCCTCACAACACCTTGCTTGAGGAGAGCGTTAACTTGTTTGTTGATTTCCACTTTGTCTGCCTGTGAGCATCGGTATGGTGCTCGACGAATAGGGACAGCATTGGTAAGTGCGATCCTATGTTTCTTAGTAGTGATGCACCCAATATCTGTCTGAGATTTCGAAAATATCTCGTCATACTTGCTTAAAAGAGAGTCGAGCGCCACAGCCTCATGCTCTGATAAGTTTTCTGAAGTCAGGGTTCGCATCAGCGGTGATTGAATGGTTTTATTTTCATTGTGATGTGGCAGGTTCATATTCTCACGTACTTGTGTCACTGACTTGCTTTCCAGATTTACAGAAAGATTGAAGTATGAAGCGCTGTCTAGGCCAAGAATTAATTGCGTTCTCATGCCTCGCAGCACATGTGCATAAACTTTCTTGATGACGTTCCCAATTTGTAACTGAATGTTTACGCGACCCAAAGTTCGAATGCTTGATGCAACTTGCTGGACCATGATGCTGGAGTCTCTCATCAACTGAAGCTTTATCTGTTTGTACACACCCTCGCTGATACAAGTAATTGTTGCTCCTGTATCGAGAATTGCATTTACTGGCTTTCCGTTGATGAGAGCACTGAAGTGTATTAATGAAACTCTGGGTCGCCCTCCTCGTTCCCCCGTTCAGTATCAATAGCGGACACATTGCCGCGGCGCGGACATTCGTTGTGCCAGTGAAACTGTCGTGGGAAACCAGCAGCTGAGCAGTATCTACATTCGTTTTGCGGGGCACGCGGTTGAAGAGTTATTGTCGGTTGCTGCGGTCGAGTTCTTGATGCGATACTAGCGTTACGAGTAAAGGAAACTCCTCTCACCCGTTTTAAAGATGTCTCGACCCGTTGAGCAGCGGTGAGCTACTCTAATGACGAGTTGAAAGACAGTCCGGCGAGCGCCAGTTCCACATCAGGAGGAACACCATCAGTCAGCCCAGAAATGATGTGGCACTCTTTTCAGGTCAGCCAAGGAACCCAGTCGCTTTTTCTCGTTGTAGTAGTCCTTGATGGTCTGCCCTCCTTTCAGTCGGTAGTGAATGAAGAGACGGAAGGCATCTCCGTCAGTCGAAGCAAAGCGGGCTTGCATGTCACGCTTGATATCGTCCCAAGTTGTCTCGCCGTTGCCGAAAATCTCTGTCAGGTACCACTTGAACGCTTCCCCTTCAATGTATTCATTGAAGTGAGTGACCCGATCGCGGTGAGTCCATGATGCCTCGGCTGCCTTCATTTTGAAAAGAAGAAGCCACTTGTCGATGGGGACGTCTTCTGGTGTTCCCTTGAACTTCTGTATGTTGAGCGGAGGCTTTGGCTTAGCCATGGCACGTTGATGAAGTCGATCCTGTCGACTTGAGTGACGCTACAAAATGGAGACACGTCGTGGTCCAGATGCCATGCGTTTATTGTTGTTGTTGTTGTTGTTGTTGTTGTTGTTGTTGTTGTTGTTGTTGTTGTTGTTGTTGTTGTTGTTGTTGTTGTTGTTGTTGTTGTTGTTTCCCTGTGCAAATGGCTCGTACCCAAAGAAGGGGATTGGCCAATTATAAGGTGAATTTCCCTAAACTTTCATCATTGCGTCATTCCTACAAATTTTTTTGTAACTTAATTTTGATTTGAAATACCGATATCAAGTTTGCAGAAAAAAAAAGAAGAAAAATAGTGAGACAGCAATTTAGCAAGAAAATCGTTTAGTCGCAGTGATGTATTCTTGAACGGCGAATAAAACATCCCTGTGGCTGAAACCCAGTGTACAGGCTCCAAATGAAAGAAGATCAGGTTGTGATAGTTGCAAGCCCAGTCTTTGAAGAGGTGGTGCTAGTATGCTTTGCCTGAATAAATTGAAACGGCGACAATGTAATAAAAAATGACAGATCGTTTCCTCTTGATTACAGTAAATGCACATAGGGGAATTCAATATGCCTGATCTATGCAAGTAAAAATTGAGGGAGATAACGCGGCAACGAAATTTCGTGATGACAACTTCCATTATCCTTGAATTAGTCAGTTCACTGCGCCAGGGAAATAACAAGTGTTTGTACTCTGGAGAAGCCGTCAGTGCAGGGTCAGATAAATTTTGCCTGATTTTAAGTGTGCGAAATCGCGCCACCGTAATGTATACTGTATGAGGGAAAATAGGAATAATTGGTGTCGAAAGGGATGCATTCGCAAGAGAATCAGCTATTTCGTTTAACAACAAACCTTTGTGCCCTGGTGTCCAGATTAAATGAATACTTCGGAGATGACAGGGGATCAACGATTTAAAAAGTTTCACTATAGGTGAGTGACACCAGATGCGGACAGAGAAGAGTACACTGATAATGAATCAGTTATGACTGCTACGACTGGAATGGAAATATTTACCTTTCGCAAAGCTAACATGCGTTTATTCTAATGCACGCGCACTTCCTCTTCGTCGGCTTCTCCTAAAATCACCTTGTGAATGCGTCACAAATATATATATATATATATATATATATATATATATATATATATATATATATATATATATATATATATATATATATATATATAATAGTTGTGACATTCAAAATATCGTTACAAATGCGGTCACATTCTTCTGCAAACAAATGTGACGCAGCTTTATTTTGTCAAGCAAACTTTCTGTCTGAAGGGGCTGCGTGAGATATGGACGCCATCTGGCAGTAATGTCGGGAAACAGGAGCCTGTACAGAACCGTGTTAGTGCCACTGTCAGGTGGCAACTCCATGTCATCGGCAGATCGCTTTTTCGTGCACAACGTAGCATTTTGAGCGAAGTGTAAAACACACTATGGGGTATTTCGTATTACGTATCTATGTATTGTCTAATAAAGGTCACACGCCACATAATACTTACGTAATGATGCCCTGCCTCAAATATGCACGTTTGTTTTTTGATCGACAATGTTCACAAGTAAGAACGAAGCCAGCAGCTCAATATGACTGGGGCATTTAGGAAGCACTTTAACTTTGGCCCGGCGGTTGAATCATGCCACAGACAAAAAACAAACAAAAGAACAGCCAGACATACACAAATATTTTGCGTTCAAGTATCCCAAGAAAATCTATCTATCTATCTATCTATCTATCTATCTATCTATCTATCTATCTATCTATCTATCTATCTATCTATCTATCTGTCTGTCTGTCTGTCTGTCTGTCTGTCTGTCTGTCTGTCTGTCTGTCTGTCTGTCTGTCTGTCTGTCTGTCTGTCTGTCTGTCTGTCTGTCTGTCTGTCTGTCTGTCTGTCTGTCTGTCTGTCTGTCTGTCTGTCTGTCTGTCTGTCTGTCTGTCTGTCTGTCTGTCTGAAGACGATATAGACTGTGTCTAAAAAGATCAATAAAAGTAGCATCGTCCGATTCCCTGTTCTGCTAAATGTAACTGTCACTTCAAAAAGCAATGCACAATGAAGGGTTGACTTGCCTGCCTCATCCTTGCGCAGACCGCTGGAGAGGAGTTCGGGTAGCACGAACGTGACGCTCTTGCGGTTGTAGCCGTAGCAGGCGTAGCCGAGGAACAGAGTCGCGAATATCATGCCCTGGTAACGCCTCAGGCTCGCCGCCATAGAAAATTCTTCCCAGATCCGCTACTCGCGAACAGGCATAACGGGGACATCGGCTTCTTCTTTCTTACATAACGTGGCGCATAATGATGATGTCACCCGGGGGTTCTTTAACGTGCACCCAAATCTAAGCACACGGGCCGCATTCATTTTCGTCTCCATTAAAAATGCGACCACCACGGCCAGAATTCGATCCCACGACCTGCCACTACGGCATATACCATAATCATATGGGATATGATGTTGGGACTGTAAAGCCCAACAATATTTATCCATTAAACTTGGTTTGTTTTTTTTTTTGCTTCTATGTCCTCTTTTTCCGCAATCTTTCAATCAACTCTCACTCTCGAAAATATATATTTCAAGGCTAGAAGGACGCGGCAGTAACAAACAAGTTTGATATATATATATATATATATATATATATATATATATATATATATATATATATATATATATATATATATATATATATATATATAATGAGAAAGAGAGGGAGAGAAAGAGAGAGGGGGGAGCAAGTCCGACTTCTAAATTAAATGATTCAACATTAGTCCCTTAGGTGCCGGCTTGGCGACTTCAGCAAGGCAATCTCTATTGCGAGACTTCAGATATATATTTTTTTCAATTCGCACAAATACGTCGGTCGAGCTCATAATGCTTGCCTCAAAGCCGAAAATGCCCCATGAAATCAATTCGCAGAATGCGTGGGAACTGCCGAATTACTTTTTTTATTGCCATGCTTGACAAAACATCCGCCACACTGGAGGGACTGGGCTAATGCTGACATGGGAAAATTCAATTATGCCAGAAAAAATAATATAAGATAGTTAAAAATTCTTACATGGTAGGAAATACAATTTGCTGCTGCCGCTAGAAATTTTGCGAAGTTGGGGTTACGAATTTTTTAGTCAATTGATGTTTAGTGGACGAGTATTTGTGTTGCTCTTCACCAACCGAATTTCTGGCAATAAAACCCTTTGTTGGTAAACGCGAAATGCGCCTCATCTTTTCTCTGCATGTTTATGAGCAGGCATGTCGACAGGAAACCTATTTGTAGACATTTTTTTTTTTTTCATTGGTGAACAAGTGTGTGCGAAATGCATTCTCTGGCTGACTATGTCAGCGGTGCTTTGAGTTATCGGAAGCATTCTTGTTTCACGAAAACCAGTCATTGTTGTTTATAAGTTGTCTCTTCAGTTTTTCACGAAGCCAACGTAATCTGTGCCTACAAATCCGTTTGGGGGGGGGGGGGGGGGGGCATTTTGCAATAAACGTCTGCCTCGTCACTGGCCCTGGATCCAATTTTTAAAAGCCTGAAGGGGAAAAGAAGACAGGATAAACAGCACCCCCTGTGAAATAGTTGCCGGACAGGGCAGCCAACAGTCCGTTTTCATTGGATGTTGACCAAAGCTAAGCTCTTAAACGTCGCGGGCCGGAGCAACGGGAGGGGCGGAGTGCTCCGCCTTCCATGAAGCCGTCCGGGGAGAGGCTTCATAAAATACATCGACGTAAAAAAAGGAAATGACAAAAAAATATAAACAAGGGGGCACCCGGGTTTGAACCGGGGACCTCTCGATCTGCAGTCGAATGCTCTACCACTGAGCTATACCCCCAGACACGGCAGTGTGTTGTAAATACACTGTTTTGTCCATTTTCTGTTTTATACAGCAATCTTGGGTGTTGTTTTTGGACATTGTCGAATTTCGCTATGTTGTCATATTCCCCCATTGGTCGATGCTAATTGGCCAAGTGAGCTGCTACGACCTCTCTGATTGGCTTAAAATGCCGCCTTTACGAAATTTGACAATATGGAGGAATTAAACAAGTGCACATCTACCCCTTGATGCGGTGGTTTTAGGTTAGTTTTTTTTTATTTCTTTTTTTTCATAACTGTTAGGATCTCGTGAACCGGGCCACAGCAGGCCGCCAACGACCACCGTTTAAACAACGGCGTACAGCTTCGCTGTCCGGACTGTCGACGCCCCAAATCGTTAACAGAACCTACAGAACATAATTAAAAACAAATGGATCGTAAAATACTTATCGTGGTTACGTTGAAAATATCAATGAAATCGTTACTTTTTGAATACTGTGTTTCGTGGCACTTTTTGTGGCTGTACAAAGACAGGAAACATATTTTCATTTCTAAATTGGTACATACACTGCTCCCATTTATTTTTGTATGCACATTGTTTTGTGAGAAAGGAGCAAACAAAAGAAAAAAACAAACAAAAAGCTGGTTACGGAAACATGACACTCCATACCTTAACTCAGTTTCTCGCCATAACAGCTTTTATCTGTTCCTCGCTTTTGAGTCGTCTTGAACCTTCTTTGTTAATTAACTCTAGCAGCAGATAGTAGCAGATAGCAGTAGTAATTAACGGCGCCGCGCGCAATGAATGGCAAAGCCCAGTCACAGAACATGTACCAGTAACAGTGGTAGGCAAGCTGGTAGGCACGGAGGACTTCCTCCGTGCTGGTAGGTATTCTGTGTGGTAGGTTCTCCGTCTGACCCCGTGTGTGACTGTTTGACACGGTGGCGCCATCTTCCGCTGGCTGCCAGCAGCTCTTTCAAGATCGTGGTACATGTTCGGCGCACAGCATGGCAAGCTCTATGCACCATGGTACAACTCCTGAGTGTTTGCAGGTGATTGTGATAGTAGTATTAGTAGTACTAATAGTAATAGTAGTCGCAACACCACGTGTTTGTAGCAGGTTGTATGTTGAACGAAAAAAAAAAAAGATGAAAGAGAGGTCTTTCAGAGTTCGGGCGCGCTTTTTCAAACGGTTTCGTTGGAAACCGAAATAGAACAGTGTTGCAATTTTTCGGATATGCTCAATAACATAGGTCCCTTGCCTACCCGGCGTGCGTAGGCGTGCGGACGAAGAGGTTGGGGGGGGGGGGGTGCAAAGAGGCAATCATCCCTCCTAGGCACCTAAGAGAGAAAGGGTAGGGGGAGACGCAGAGTGAACCCCACGCATTTATGGCGGAGGCGGGGGGGGGGGGGGGGGGGACTCCGGATAATTCGAACTCCTGCGGTTCTTTAGCGCTGTCATCGCACAGTGCGCGGATCTAGCGGTGGATCCAGAGGGGGGTGGTGGAAGAGGTGACCTCCCCACCTCCCAAAAAAAAACCTGTCATATCCCCCTTTATTCAGTGCTTGCCGTCCACTTGCTATCACCAATTAAGACAAATTAGTGGGACCACTTTGGGCACATATTAAAGTATTTATGATATGACAGAGTTTTGTGCTAGCAAAAATGAAAAAAAAAAGCAATGGCCACGCTCCCTTCTCCAGTGTGACGTCAAGTGACCTCCGCCCCCTAAAATGACTGGCTGGATCCGCCTCTGCGCTGACCTGTATATCACCTCTATATAAATGTGACCTATTTTGCAACTGCAGCGTGTTGGCAGTTGGCACATGGCTAGTATGGATAGATGAATGCGTACTACTAGTGGGGTGACGTGTGTGCCACGATGCTCGAAAAAATAAAAGAAGATTGACGGCCCAGTTATCACGCCCTTAAGGCAGAATGTCCTTATTTTTCCCTCCATTTATTCTCATCCTTTCTCGTTTTTTTTTTTGCACCAATACTCAACCGTCTCCTATTTCTATTACGGGTGTGTTCAGCTTTTCATCATCATCATCATCACCATCATCATCATCATTAGCCTGACTACGTCCACTGCAGGACAAAGGCCTCTCCCATGTTCCGCCAGTTAACCCGGTCCTGTGCTTGCTGCTGCCAATTTATACCCGCAAACTTCTTAATCTCATCTGCCCACCTAACCTTCTGTCTCCCCCTAACCCGCTTTCCTTCAGCTTTTCATAGTTGTCCCTAAATCTCCATGTGGGCTCGTCCAAATCGCCTGGGGGGTGGCTGTAAAATCCGTCTCATAGTTTTGACTCAGCCGCACCTCTCACGTGATCAATTAAAGAACAGCGACACGGGTACCTGTTCATGGCAAAAGGCTTTACAAAATATACTATTCATGGAGAAAAGAGCATAAAAGTGTTACTGGTTACGATAATAACTATCTGAAACTACGTGATTCATTCTAATAATTTGCATGTGTATTATTTAACGAATATATTCTTTGCTTCATTTCTGGACAGTCCGCACAATTTATTGAATTTATACGACAGTAATTCGTGTACATACATTTTAATTAAAGTACTATCGGGGCAATGGTCTGGAAACGGCTCTAGCGTTTGCGGAAGTATACGTCACTGTTTCAGTTACTGTCGGCTACACATGCTGGTAGAAGCGATTCGCCCACTTTCGTTTAAATGTGACGCATTTGAGGTTTCTGGAACACAAAAAAACAACTATATTCCGCTGTTTATGTTTGTTGTGCTCCCATTGGTGAGTCCTTGTTTATTATGAGACCTTCTTACCTACACCATCACTGGAAAGCAATCCATGCGCGTACGTGCTATATGCAGGACCGATGTGCATATATAGTATTTGACACCTGCATGCAGATTTCTTGACCCTGTATTTCCACACTGTTTCAACTGATTTGTTTATTTACGTATTTGTTCCCTATTGAAAATCCTGGGTTGGTGGATGCTGGAATCGCTGGTGGATATGGTGGAAAGAATAGCGGATATGGTGGAAATATTAGTGGATATGGTGGAAACTGTAGTGGGCATAATGGCTGATGGCGGCGAGAGCGGAAAAAATGGTGGCAGATGGTGGCGAGCCAATGGTGGTGACGGTGGAAAATGGTGGCTGATGATGGCTATAGTGGAAAAAATGGTGGCATATGGTGGTGGTGGTGGCGAGCCTATGGTAGTGACGGTGGAAAGTGCCGGCTCATGGTGGCAACAAACAGTGATCTGCACTGATTGTCATTACAGAATTACATGAACATGCTAGAAGGATGGCTTGACATTATCCATATGTCATTGAACGTCAAAAAAAGTGCGCTTCTGCCATTCTCTTTTAAGGATCGTGTCAACATTTCCCTGATGTATCTACCGAGTTCATTCCCCAGGTCGATTTCCTGAAATACCTAGGCATCGTATATAATAAGACGCTAAACTGGAAAAGCCATATAGAGTAGGTTGGCTGTAAAGCGTCACGTGTCTTGGGGTGGTTACGCGAATTGGGAAACAGAAAAATAGGATTGCGTAGGAGTTCATTGATAATGATTTACAAGATGTATGTGCGGCCTATTATGGAATTCGGGTGTGTATTATTTTCAGGCAGCGTGGCTTAAAAGATGAGACAATTAACATTATTAGAAAGAGAAGCTCTGCGCTTGTGTCTTGGACTCCCCAAATTTGTGGCAAATAATGTTTTGTATGTGGAAGCGCGCCTTCCACCTTTGTTAACTCGGTTTAGAATACTTACAGTTCAAACTTTCTTAAAAATATACAATTCGCCTCTGCGACAAGCTTACGTTTTTATTCAAGAACCAACCACATTCTTTGGAACACAATGGTCTAGACTACACTCCCCTCAGATTAGGTTCGTCCAAGCGTTGCTAGAGCCTCTCAATGTAAATATTTATCAGATTGGCATAACGAAGACGCCTAATTCAAAACTTGAAATTGAATTTGATGATATTTTCCTCTCTAATGCGAAACAACTGCCCCTTCGATATTTAAATATTCGGTTAAAAGATTACTTGACTCATCTGTCCATAAACAACATTATTGCGACGGATACATCCGTATTGAACGAAAAGGCTGGAATAGGCATCTTCTGTACTTCTCTCGACTGGTCTTTCTCAGTTCGATTACCAGATATTACACGCCTATATTCATCACTGAATTATTTGCTATAATTCTAGCGCTTCGTAAACTTCCTGCAAGCGAATCAGAAGTGGTCATACTTACCGATTCTCTCTCAGTATGCACTGCACTATCTACAGCAAAAAAAATTTGACAATATTGAGTATGACTAGCAGTTTATTACCAGCAAACTTGAAAAAAATTCACTTGCTATGGATACCTGGCCACTGCGGGATTTATCCAAATGAGATGGCAGACTCGTTAGCCAAAGCATCTTTAAGCGGACCACTCTTACCTATTTTACCTGATTTCGCCAACGTAACAGCACTCAGATATAGAGATGCTTGTTTGCACAAAGAAATATAAAAATTATCATTGGATAAAGTTAGAGACTTCGTACATCTAAGATATTGCTGGAACAAACAGTGGTGTATATCTCGGCAATTAGAAATTACAATCACCAGATTACGATGCAGAATTCCGCATCTGAATTACTACCTACATAAAGCTGGACTAACAGCATCTCCGTTGTGTCTCTTTTGCAAGGAATCGGAATCAATAGATCATTTCTTTTTATCCTGTCAACGTTATGCTTATCAAAGGAAAAGATATCTAGTCGAACCAATTGAGAAGTTAGGTTTAAAAGTAAACGTGGAACTAATTTTATCCTTCGGAGGGATTGCATTAGGTTATAGCCACATGGAGGTTTCCTCTGCTGTGTGCGAGTACATAAGGGCAACAAAGCCCTGTTAGCCTATTGTTATTATTTACGGCTACGAGACTACCTGAATGCCTGACTTGGCACACTTGATGATCCTGCCGCCCGGTTCTTGGCCGATCCCCCTTTGTGGGCGAGTGCCAGCAAAGCTGAAGGTTCATCATCATCATCATGGGAAACTCTGCTCCCACCCCGATTCTTTTTCTTCACATGAAAACCCTACGCAATGCGTGCGCCCATGCGTACAATTATCGTACAGCTTCATTAATAGCTTCCACCTCCTAACGCTTCCCATTGCATGTAGAATAAACAGCCTGGATTTATATGCTTCGTTGCCCAAAGTGCAATTACACTATATTAACAGCGTTAACGGACTGCCAGTTCCAGGAATGTCAAAGCCACACGAGCCCGGCTTCGAAATTATGTGTTACGTCACCCGCGAGCCGACGCCATCACAAATTGTCATTGCGGGGTAGCGTCTGCACGCAGTAATTCGACGCCTGAAACACACAGACGACGAAGACGACCAGAACGAGACGCTGCACGGACGCGACGCAGAGCGGACGCGGCCCGCGGTGCCCAGCTTCACCAGGGGGGGCTTCACCGAGGTCTTACTTCTGAAGATAGAGAGTTTGCCGAGTTGCTGCCAGCGGCCACGGTCATGCTGCGACTAGCGCTTTTGGCATGCCTCTGCCTCCAACAATTGCCTACGTCAAACGCCGACGAGGTAGTGCTGGTGTCTCAAGCTCCGCCCGCAATTGCGGCGGTCAAGAGCTTCAACGGCACGCTAAGCGCCGAAGTACTGGCCGCCGCAGCACTCGCCGGACTCAACATTACCATCATCAACGGAACGGCATACGAAGAGTACGAGGTGCCAGACTCCGTGCCGCAGAGCGGAAGCGGCAATGAAGACTCGTTGGCAGCGATGCTGGCTCAACAGCCACCCTTGTCGGGTGACAAACAGGCCTACCCCCAGCCTTCGACTATTGTCGTCGTTGTCGCAGCTGAAACGGCAACGGAACAACCTGAAAAAACACCAGTGACAGTGAAAGAAGCGCCAACCGTCATGACACCAGCCAACGAAGCTTCTGCTACGCCCCTGGTCAAATCAGACAACGTCGCCGCCACTACGACTGCAGCGACGACGACAACAACGTCAACGGCAACTCTATCTACGACACCAAAAGCGGAAGTAACAATTTCGAGTGTTGAGACCACGATCACGACCACAAGCGGTCCTGCGACAGTGAGGGTCGAGCTTGGGCGCCTTTCGGTCTATCCGGTGCCGGCGGTCGTCGAGAATTCCGGGGGCGTAGAGCTGTTCTGCAGCGCGGGCTACCACGACTCTGCAAGCATCGTGTGGACCCTCAACGACGAACCACTCGAAGACGTAGTCCAGCGCTCGGTCATCTCGGGGCGCAAGGACTTCTACCTCAAGTCACTGCGAATCCAGGTGGACCGGCTCGAGACGCTGCCGGCGCCCGCCGGCAAGTACGTCTTCGAGTGCGTCGCCAGCGTCGATGGCAACCTGCTCAAGGAGCGCGTCGAAATCGACTCGCCGTACGGCGACTTTTGCCGAAACGACTCGGAGTGCGCGTCGCGTCACGCCGTCTGCGGAAGTTCGTTGGCGTGTCGCTGCGACGGCGGCCATCCCGTGCACCTCAACTCGTCGCATGTCACGTGCCGGGCTGCCGCGCACCTCGGCTGGCCGTGCAGTTACGATGAGCAGTGCACCTACGCCGCGAACAACTCGCACTGCGGCAGCAAGGGCGAGTGCGACTGCGTCGAGACGTTCAAAATGGAGACCTCGCCGCTGGGCAGCCTCGTCTGCGTGCCTCGAAAGATGGTCAGCGGACCGTGTAACACCGACAACGACTGCAAGGACATCGGAGCCAAGTGTAACCCTTCGGGTACTTGCCAATGCCCGCCAGGCACGCTCGAGAACAACGGACGCTGCGTGGGGAAGCTGGCGGCCCCTCTTGGACCCAATAACCTGACCGCCCTCCTCAAAGCCAAGGGCATGTCAACAGGAACGAACGCTACAGCTGTTACCGTGGTGACCGGCGCCATGTCCACCGCTGCTAACGTAAGCGTCGCTTCGGACCCCAAGAAGCAGCATATGCCCGTGCGCATCCTGAAAGTGCGAGAGTTTCCACGCGGGGCGCCCGTCAAGGAGCACCCGAACGACACGATGGACAGCCGAGCGCAGGGCTTCAATGGCGGCGTTGTGAAGGTCGACGTTGCCGTGCACGAGAACGACACCTCGTTAGGCAGCCAGCGGATGCTCACGGCTGACGGCTGCAAGTGCACGCATTCGGCAGTACTCGGCGCCACATTAGCGTTCGCAGCATTGCGTTTGCCACAGTTGTGAGGTTGCGCCTGGTTGCAACGCGTCAGGAACGAGTGTTCCCTTGCCAGCGTGCATTGAGTGTCTTCGCGTAGAATAAAGTTCTTGTGTTTTGAAATGTATACTTGCATGCTGGTGACAAATAGGGTGCTCAGGCGTGTAAGAAAAGTAACTTACAATACAAACCACGGTGTAAAGGTCAGTGACATAATTCCATTGAAGAAGAAAAGCTTGATTCGTCAATGTTTCAGCTTGGTGGTTTCGGTTTCGCCATTCCGCGCCTTGGCTAGCCTTGGCTTTAGGTGAAACCCGACTTGGCTGTGAATAAACATGGCGCCGTCCTGAGTATCTGCCGTTTGTTCGTGGGCCTGCGCGAACATGTTAAGGCGTCTGTGTTTGTGCGCGTAATTTCACGATGAGAAGGCTACAAGCTGTGGTAACAAATTAAATAACTAGCTACAAGCTGCGGTAACAAACTAAGTAACTACCTTTAACTACCTTACGTGGCTAAACTGGTCACGAATTTGTTCTGCAACCCGCCGGGAACAGGTTGACAATGTCTTTGCTCGAGTTCGAAACTCAAATGTTCCTGGACCTTCACAACGAAGATGGTCTCGTCATAGTAGCGAAGTAAGATCTCGCTTACTGTGAAGTACATTTGACCAACGTATCGCTTTTGTTTCGTTTACTAACTCCCTTGACGTCATTCGTGCAGAGGTCTCGGCATAGAGCGATTGCTCTTGAGCTTGATCAAAGTTCACAACGATCCCGGCAGTCTTGTTTTGATACTGGGAACGACAGCTGAAGAAGAGGTGAGCGTACGCTTTCATTGTTCTTTTCAAAGCCCATTCTTCCAGTAAGCCCAGTAGTCACAGCTGCTAACGTCGCCTATAGGCTTTATGACAACTCGGCACTGCCACGAGTTTTGCATCAACTAGTGAATCGTTTGGTCAGCAAGGAAACTGTGAAGCCCACTTAGATTCACCCAAAATGTATATTTTGAGCTGAGGGCTCACTCGAGCTCAGATTCACTAAATCGGTTCTCAACCGAAATCAGCTCTCGCTCGCGAAAACATTTATTCACCCTGACTCGCTCAGAATGAGTCTTGATCTGAGTCGGATTGAGTTGATTCCTGATTGCCTTTGCCTTCCTGTGCCACTAGTATGTAAGATGGTATAATTCCTTCGTTTTTTCAGGAATTTTTCATAAGCCAACTTCAAGCAGACAATGTAAATCCGCTCCCGAAATGTATAACTGCTGACTGTGGCACAAAAGAGAGGCAAGTACAAACATCTTGTTAAATGAATCCACTTGGGATGCCAGTAAACGAACCTTGAATCCAAATGTATCGGATCTCTTGTTCAAAACATGAACTAAAGCAGGTTTTGTTTGCAGGACGGACGTGTATTTAACCGGTGGTGCCCTTTTTGTGACGTCACGGATTCTTGTTGTCGACATGCTCATGGAGAGAGTCCCCATCAATCTTATTACGGGCATTATAGTGTATCGAGCGCACAAGTGAGTCTCTCATGACGATTTTGCTCATGTTGTTGTTAGATGATGATTTACCCTGACGAGCTTGTCAAATTGTTTCAGAACGCTGGAATCGTGTCAGGAGGCCTTCATTCTGAGACTGTATCGACAGAAAAACAAGGTTCGAAGTACATTTCTTAAAGAAGCAAAGGCATGCATTGTGCGTGGTTACTGTGAGCAGGCATCTTATAGCCTTAGTGCCATTTGTTCCGGTGTGAAACATTGCATATTACTTCGGTTGTGGATTGTACTGATGAGTGTAAGGAATTCTGGAAACTGTGGGGTCGAACTGTGGGTTCTATGTGAGAACTTATCATTCGGACTGAAAATAAAGCAAAAGATTGTGCTTGGCTGCCTATTGACATCCTATATCTGTGAACAATTAAAAAGAAATCCTACATGCAGGAAAGATTTGTCATTCATCATTTGTGCTGTGGAAGTAATACAAGGAACTATCTCAAAGTTGGGAACGCTGTGGGTTTTTATTGTTGTTCTTAGAAATGTGAGTTGTTTTGTAAGGTACATTGACATTTTGTTTTCCATTGGTGAGGGTTGTTGAAACGAGCATTTTCATACAGAATTCATTTAGTTTCTTTTAAGCTTCATTCACTTGTTTAATCCACAAATTCATTCATTGAGTGTTCCATGCAGCCTTCAACTTGTGCTTGTTCCCAACGATGGAAAAGCCAATGCTAACAGCACTTGCCTATCAGTGTTTGGCGAGTGGTAGTTGATATTACATGGCTTGCAAAATGTTTTCTCCATTTAAACTGTTTATAACTTTTGTTGCCTTGCAGACAGGGTTTGTGAAGGGCCTTTCAGACAGTGCCGTGGCCTTTACCCACGGCTTCTCGCAAGTGCAACGCATGATGAGGAATCTTTTTGTGAAAAAGCTGTTTCTCTGGCCGAGGTTCCAAGCTGATGTTATTTCGTCCCTAGAGAAGAGAAAGGTATATTTCTTACAGTTCTTTAGTGTTATTAGTGCTGCAAAAGAGAAAAACCAAGCATTCGACTGATGCATTGTGGGAACCACTTTCATGCGAAGCAGTCGGCAAGTAATGGCCTATGCTGTATTCTTTTTTCATTTTTCTTTTGGATTTGAGTTGATCATTACCAGGTGGATTGACGTATTTTAATAAAGGAGTAGTTACATGCACATCATGCACTAACGAGGCGTGTCGACTATGACGGTTAAAGGGTAATTTAAGGTCTTACATCATGCCGGCTTTCTTGTTAAAGCACTGACGTCACATTTATTGAAAAGAAGCCTACGTTTTAGGGCACTGTTCGCACATATGGTGTAATGCTGTGCATATCATACGTAGCATTCATTAGAGTATGTTGCACCGGGGTGGAGCCACACTTGAGTATAGCTTGCCGAATGATAGGAGCACATAAGTAACGCTTATTCAAATTTCATAATACGGAGCTAACACTGAAACCAAGATTGGCGTTAAGCCATCTATGATGTTCTGTATTACAGAAGTATGCAAGTGCTGTTTATTAGTGTGTTTTAGAATTAGATTGCCAGCACTGCAACCACAACTGACAGTGCACCCACCTGATTCTTGCGTATGGGGTCATTTTACAAAGCAGTCCAAAAACCTGGTGTGGCTCTATGGTAGAATACATGATTGCCATGCAACATGCTTGGTTTACATTCATGCTGGAATCCCGATTATAATTCTTTGTGTTCGTCAAGTTGTTGTGGCTGACGGCTCATTTTTTAGGGGCGAAGCACCTTAGGGCGTGGGCTGTGCGTCCCCTGTAGCCTGTATGTAGCCACCTCTAGTTTAGTTCTTGCAGTGTTCACTAGATGGCGGTACCGTCCCCTGTATGTAGCCACCTCTAGTTTAGTTCTTGTAGTGTTTACTAGATGGTGGTACTTGTAGCTGATGATGAAAAGATGCAAGATGTTATAAACTAGAAAGCGGTACTTGTAGTTGATGAAAGACGCGAGATCTTATAAAATAGGAATGATGTCACATATGGCGCGTGTCATTGGTTGAAGGCAATCGTTCGATTTAGTGCGGCGACGTACGCTAGGGGGAGCGATGTAATAAAATCGAGTGGGCAAAATGTACAGAGGATTCATGGTTTACCAGGTTTACCTCCGGAGCTTTGCCCACTCATCATCATTCACTTCGTGGATATGGCGGAATTTTTTTTTTTTAGACTCTCATGTTTCAATTGCCATTGTCTGGTCCTGCCGCTCCTGGGTGTATATAAACTGTGGATCACCTGTGGTGTATATCCACAATATGTGAGCCCATGGTGAACTGTTGCCACGTTGATTAGAAGAAGGGTTTCCTGACGTATATGCCAGGATTTTCGCTTTATTTAGGTCATGCTCATACAGTCACATTTGTCATGCCTCTGATATATTTTCATGTCAATTTTGGTCAATACTATGTTAAGGAGATGACCATGAGAGTGCCTGAACGTGGGGGCAAGATAGATAGATACGTAGGTAGAAATACTCAAAGTGGTTTTAGTTAGCTAAAAATTACGTCGCACTTAAAAATTTGCTGCTGTCGATGTATCCTAATAGCAAATATGATGCAACAGTGTACTGTAACATAAAATTGATGCACACAGCGAGCCTTTGAATGAATTAATTTAATAAAGCCAAGCAAGGCAAAAGGGACATGATTTGAAGGGTTTGTAGTTTTTATCTGTAGTATAGTGACTGTGAGATCAACGGAATGTTGTAAAAAAATAGCTTACCGGGCGGTAGATAATGTGACAAGTGTTGTATGCATTATCCAAAGATTTTAGGTCTGGTTCCTACTGACAGCAAGTCACTGTTTCCATCTGCATCAAATTCTTTCAATTTCACGTCATAATTAGTACAGTAGAGTTAAAAACTACAGATAGGTTCCGCAATGCTTTTCCTTTTTTTCACTGTCTGTTTACTGCATTAGCAGTGAGCCTTTTGTTAGATGTGTTTCCATATAAATCCTAGATGCCCTGATATTGATTCATGGAAAGTAGAAATCGCACATGATGTCTTTTCGCATATTACCCTAGTATACAAGACATTTCGATGGGAAGTGGTGTCTAAGTTGTGTGCAAAATGATAGATTTCTTAAAGCAACAGAAACTGTTCAAGTTGTCGTGTTCTGGAAGCAGTCACTCAACCGTACGCGTGTTATAACGACCATGTCCCTCTTAACTTATGTTAGATGCAGATAACAGTTATTTGCATATTGCAGTTCCTCCGAAAATGTGTGTTTTTAGCCAGCCAATAACAACGCATTCAGCTTTAATACCAGAAAAAGTCTGTTATAAAAAGGTTTTGCTGAAATAAATAGGATGATTTTCAATATTGTTTTGCTGCTCATTATAAACAGTGACCAGATATGTTTGTATAAAATGTGTGTATAACCATTAATAATACATCAATGTCTGTGAATTCACAGGCCTGTTTTTTAATGTAACTTCAAGCACTTATCTAAATTTGTGCCCTGAGCTCAAAATTTTCTGTGAGAAATGTTTTTGCGATTCCTCCTATTAAGGATCAGTCAACACCCTGCTTCGAGATTACCATTCGATATTTCGCAAAAGCTGCTGTCCGATGTACATTTAACAGCTGGTAGAACTGCATGACGAACTGTGACAAAATACTTCTTTACCTTTGCAGCCGGAAGTTGTCGAGATCCGTGTTGCCATGACCCCTGCGATGAACATTATACAGATGGCCATTCTGGACATTATTGCCAGCTGCGTACGAGAAATAAAGAAATGCAATCCTTCGGTATGGCAAACATCTCTGTCACCGCAGGGCATTCCTTAAACCGCTGCTTTGCACATAAATTTGGACTTGCAAGAGAAGGAGTTTTATAGGTGTTCCATAGCATTGTGTTTTTGCTCACATCAGCATTGAAGCTTCTGTCTCATTTTTTTTTTATTCATAGAACTGTCTACCATCAAGCAACAGTTTATTGCATGATAGCAAAGTATTGGAATGTGTAAGAATTTTTTCGTTTGAATAGAGAGCTTTTGTTTTCACCTGGGGATAATACATTCACCTGATAACATTTTGCATTGAAGTTTTCTTTTTTGCTTTTTAATGTTGCACGCAGGACACACTAGACACGTCTTGGTCTATGCAGCTCCATGCGTTTTATGCAGATTGATTGTCTGTTTCATGTATTCTTTGTGTTTTGCAGATTGAAATGGAAGACATCACTGTAGAGAACACCATCGCGAGGTCATTTGAGAAGATAGTCAAGTTTCAGCTTGACCCCATCTGGCATCAGATTGGACCGAAGACGAAGCGTCTGGTTTCTGACATCAAGACTCTCCGCACCCTGCTACTGTGAGTTGTCCGTTCTGCGATATGCATTGCTAACATCAGTAAGGGATTTCAGTTGCGCTTAGCACATGCATTCGTGCCCAATAATAATTGCGTTATGCTGCCCGTGGTCAAAGTGGCACGAGATTGCATGGTGGCGCCGACATAGAAAACAGTCAGTGATGTAAACAATCTTTTGACTTTGGTATTTTCAAACCAGTTTCACGTTTGCTGGTGTTGCAGTGTAGGCAGTGTAGGTTTGCAGCCCCTTAACCATGGCCAGTTTTTCACAACCCATATTGTGTGCCACTGTGCAAAGATTTGCTGCATATTATGGTATTATATAAATTGTGACAGACTGTCTGTAAATGTGTAAAACTTGCACAACCTCATTCCAAGGCCCTTACTATTATATTGTATAAAAGAAAAGGTGGTGATACATTGATTTTTGCATTTTGCACTTACAATCTTAATTGGTATGTAATGAAATATCTCGTTAGTGTAAAGTCAGTCATGTTCTAGTTTTGTATAAAATAATTGACTCTCAGGATAGAAGCATATAGGCATTTTGTTATGCTTTATATCTACTTCAAGCAAACAAAAATTATAGTTTTCGTGCGACTTCAGGAATGGGGCTCATTGAATGACTCGCTAAACAAGGTAGCATCTTCAGCATAGTGATCCTCTGCAGCAGCACGCAGCACAATAAAGATTTGTCCACTTTGGAAACATGCAGAGATGTCTGTGCCATGTTTTTTTGAGGTCACTGAAGTAACACATAGTGCGACAAGCCTCTGTAGTCTATGGGTATAATTGTACGCATTGTCACTGAAGAAGATATTGCGATTATCATGAGGATAAAGTTTTGATGTGTAGGTTATGTAATGTGTGGACAAAGTAATTAGTGCACAAATGTTACAGGCAGTAACATGTTAGAAGTTTTTTAGAAATGGGGGAAGGGCTTTAATTCGAGAGATGAGGGAAATGGGGGGGGGGGGGAACTAGCTAACTTATAGTAGATGTGAAATGGCTAACTTGAGCATGCTCTAGTAGATGTGAAATGGCTAACTTGAGCTAACTTGAGCATGCTTGAGCATGAAATTGCTTTGAATATGAAAGTGAGAAAGCAGGGCTCTTCTTTTTTGGGTTATATACCTTGATTTATCCTGATGAAGCTACCTGATACTCACCAGTTGTTTACCTCGCATTCAAAGCTTTGCAATTTATAGTTGTGATCATGCAAAGACGACTTGATGCTTTTCACTTTGTAACTGAATATTTTGCAGGTATCTGACGCAGCACGACTGTGTGACGTTCTACAGCCTTGTCAAATCAATACAGTGAGTAGAACCTTTCATTGTTCCTTTTTGAAAGCCTTTGCAATTTAAAACTTGTTGCTGCATACGTCAAGTGCTTCTTGTCTTTGAATTTCACATGGATACATACAGCTTGCTGTAATTTCGCATTTATGAATGGCTGAGCTGTTAAAGTGTCCCTGAAACATTTCTTGAACATGGTCAGCAAACAGTGCTAATTGATAGTCTTGGCCCCCTGTGAATATTTTATCTAAATACTGCAGCACTGCGCGCTACAGGGAACTTACGGTTGCGTTTAAAACGCAGCTAGAGCTTGGCCATTGGCTGAATTCAGCGTCGCTGCCGTGGGCCTGCCACCTCTAGACCACTATTGCCCTCATGACCACACCAAATATGAGCCGACGTGTGCCAAAAAAGAGAGAGCGGGAGAGAGAAGTGCTCAGGGCCACGACACGTTCTGAAGTACTTACTCGCTCCTCGGTACAGTAGACTCTCATTAAACAGAAACTGAAAAGACTAGGAGAATGTGTTTCGACAGAAGTTATGTTTACCGGGAGCGGCGCAGGGGTTCAGAATACAAGCATGAAATCATTAATATTAGACACAACATTCATGATATATAACAGACAATCATGACAAGAAAAGTATTGGGGATGTTATGTGACGTAATTCTAATGTAAATGTGAAGAAAGAAAAGTGGATGAAAAGATAACTTGCCGTGGGCAGGGACCGAACCTTCGAATAACGCGTCCGGTACTCTACCTACTGATCTACCATGGCGGCTAAACGTGGGAGTATCAGACAGCACCACCTGCAGCCACGATGGCAGGGGTGGAACACTTTTTATTCTGCCTGTTTTGGCGACACGTAGCACAAAATCTTATTACGAGCTGGCAGCTGACCAATAATCCCTCGCATACTACCTGAAGGCATCAAGTCTGCCAGATCGAGACCCTCGCTATGAATGAAGGAAGTGTACACTTCTTTCCTTCAATCAAATTAGAAGCAGTTTGAGAGATTTGCTTTTACTGAGAAGTATTTGCTCTAGTGCCCTCTTTTAATACAGAGGCCTGTTGTCATTCTCTTCGGAACTGTGGGTGCTTTTTGTTTGATTTCAAACAACAGATGAGATGCTATTGGCCTGTAGCCTACATAAATTGACAGTGGTATTTGGAGCGAATGTGCCACCTGCTACAAGGTGCCGCCACTTGCCAGCACCATGCTTCAAACTCTGCTAACATTACATAGGAGCCGCTCTTGTGCACAGGAATCGTAAGGGAAGAGAGCGATCACGTTTCATCACGCGTGCTCAAGATCGGGATGTGCACTGACGTAACTTCTTTTCTCCGTACCAACCCTCTTTTGCATAGTTTCTAGCATGCTCATTGGGACGAGAGAAGAGACAAAGTACCTAACTAAAGCGCGCAAGAAATCCCTGTAAATCAGCTCCTTCTTGAAGAACTCCGATACTGAGGTCATTGGATGATTACTTGGGAAAGGAGTTCAGGACCCCTTTGACGAAGGCAGCTCTGCTTCAATTCAAGCTTTGTTGCATTCAGAGGCAATTTATTGTTTGTTTAACAAAGTTCAGGCTTTATATACTGTAGCCCGTCGTGTTTCCATGTATTCATTGAAAGAGAAAAAGAAATATCTTTTTTTGCATAAATTTTATTTTTCAATACGGCTAGTTTACTCCCATTCTGATTCCTATGTATCCATGATTTTCAGCGACAGTGCTACGGCCATGACGCAGGTATCCGACTGGCTTTTCTTGGATGCAGCAGATACGCTGTATGTTGTAAGTAGCATACTATTCTCAGAACCCACCTTACCCACCTATGGTAGTTGCTTTCTGATGTGAATGCTCAATGCAAAAATTTCCCGCAAGCTCCAATGGAGAAGCACATTGGAAAAGGTTAGTTGGTCATAATGAATCCAGAGCCCCAGGCTGTAGCATATCTTCGTAGTATAGGTGTTTAAGGGGAACAATATGTCCAATTAGTGAGTGTTTTCATTTCAGGTCCTGACAATACACTTTCCATGCTCAAGTTGCTGTGACAGTATGGAAACGAAGGAAACTAGTGGAAATTTCAAGGGCTCGTTTTTCTTTGTTACACACATTATTAGTTCTCATTAGTATGGAAATACATGTTACAAGACATGCAATTCGCAGGAATCTTTTATATATCATGTCTTTGTAGCTTTTATGTTGTTCAGCATCTCTTTTCTCTCTCTTTTTTCTATATTGGCACGACTCTTTTACATACTGCCTACCATGAGGATTTTTACAACAAGGCTTTGATTCTAAGGTGTGCTGGGATTAGGGCGCTCTTATGTATTGGAAGCTGTAGAATCAGTAGTTTTATTGTGGAAGCTGTGTGTTTCATAGGCATTGAGGGAGACATTGACAAAGGTAGGCAGAGAAACCCTCACTCGCTTGGGATACCCTACTAGACCACAATACTGCCTGAAGAGCATTACTACCATGGTTAGGGAAACACGCCAACACATAACCGTAACCGTCTGCCCCATTCCGCGAAACATGAGTAAGTTGTACCATGGGGCGAGAAGACAAGCTAGAGCTCGCCAGCTTCAAAGACAGTTTGGCGAAAGCCACGAAGTAGTATACACCAATTCCGCTAAATCAAATGAAAGCTGCGTTATAGTAGCAGTTTAACCAATGGTGCATACCGCTAAAACTGTTGCAGCGTCAATTAAAACAACCTGTACAGTGACGGTGGAGGCGGCGGCGATTGCGCTAGCTATTCGAAGTAAAGAAGCAGAGAACGCCTCCGCATCAGTCTTGTCCGATTCCCAGGAAGCCTGCAGAATGTTTCTTCATGGTGCACTACCGAATGTTGCCTTGAAAATACTAGGTGACAGGCTGATACAAGACCATGTCATAATTTGGTGCCCAGGCCCCGAGGGTATCTCGGGTAATGCACTGGCGCACAGTTTCGCTCGTGATTTGAGCAACCGAGTGAGCAACGACACCGATAATCGGTACAAACCATGCACTGCACGCGATATACTCGAGCATCAACGGAACACAAGACAGCGGTGTGCCCCACCACACAAACCGCTTAAAGTTGACGAAGCTCGCCAGCTAAGACAAATTCAGGTTAACACCTATAAACGTTTGGAAAGGTGGCATCACATAAACCCCAATGCATATGTAAACCAATGTCCGTGGTGCGAGTCACGACCGACGTTGCAACACGTCACATAAGACTGCCGGAACAAGCCTATGGAGGTTCAGTCGCCTCTGATATTCACACTATTGGGGGACACTTGGGAAGCCGTCCTCGCCCGACCTGACCTGAAGACCCAAAGGGGTCTGGATCAGGCTGGACGAGCTGCAGTGGCCGCTGGTGTCCTGGTATAGGGAAACCACCCTTGACATTCTCCTCTCCTTCTTTTTTCATTTTTTTTTCATATATAAAAATGTTGTATCATCATCATCATCAAAAGAACATTTGTGTGTGTTATTTAGCGTAGAGTGTTGGCATATACCACGTACCATTACTTTTTCCGCCACCTATTCTAACCACAGGAATATGCAGGCCAATAATGGAATGTTAGAAGCCCCCTATAGATTAAATCACTTTTTATTATTGTCATGTCCAGCTGAAAATACTTAGGCATTCCTACATCGTTTTAAGCAAAGCAGAAATGCTGCCTGCTTAGTGGGCGGTAACCTAATCATCACATTACTATTTGGCAGCCAAAGTAATATGTAGTACATCTTGCGCAATGTGCAAATTTCAATGTATTTTATGCACTTGGAAGAATTTCATTCAGTTTTTGTATGTACTGCACAGGCAAAACAGCATATGATTCATTTTTCCACTATCCCTGAACGTAGCCTCAAACGTGGTATTGCTGTTGGCACTTTGTTAGGCTCACGTACTTGCACTGTATCTTTCCATCGCAGCAAGCGAAGGCCAGAGTTTACGGTGTGGATAAACGCTCACACAAGGATGACCAAAAGCAAAAAAACCCAGATAAGAAAGGTGAGTCTTTCAGCTTTTTTTTTTCTGCTAACTAAGAAACATTGATAAGTTTTTCTGCTTAATCAAATGCACATCTAGCAGTCTAAGAACCTATCACTTGCTTATAAACGACGCATTCGGCTTGAGTGCACAACAAATAAATTCATGCATTAGCAGGAGATGCTTGTGTGCATTATACTATCCCCCACCAGTGTAGTCTGCAGATCACCTAGTGGTGGTAACAAGCGCAACGTATCAGGCTGTGTCATGAGGCTTAAAAGGGCTAAAGTTTTGAAGGAAAGACCTCTTTCTTTTTGCCAGAGAGCCCACCTCCTAGTAGAGAAGCAGCATCGTAAGCATAAACATCTCCACGGAAGGTGAACATGTTTACTATCATTGGATGAGGCATGTGACCACAGGGAATTTGGATGCAGAAAATGCTAACTCACTACCGAAAGTATGTTAAGCTGCAGAAAAAAAAACCAACAAGAAAGAAAGGTGATGCTTGCAACTGGAACATAATGCTGTCCCTTTGCTGTAGTAGTAGAAGGCAACGTATGAGTGGTATCTTTCGATTGCTAGTCTATGCAAAATGTAGTGTGTCATTAGTGTGGCTCATGATGGAGTGGCAATGCAACATTTAAATTCATCCTATCTCCTCTAGTTGTCAACCTGTCCGAAAAATGATAGTGGTGCAATAATTCCCTGATGGCGTTTTATACAAGTTGCACTGTACTATAACCAAGCCTGCCAATAGGCGCCTGTTGAGAGGCCCCCGGGGGTGTACGGCAGCAGTCTGTGGGAATAGTCAGACGCGAAGGAATGTAAAGGAAGCCGCATAGGAACTCTTCAATTTCAATCGTGTAAGCAAACTTCCCTGTGGAAGCCTTGGCGTTATACTAAGTCTCTGTTCTTGTTGATTGCATGCATATTTCGGGGATGTCAGTACTCTGCTTAAGCATTAGGTGCAATTCAATTGAAGGTGGCAATACTTCTTGCAGTAATGAGAATGTGTTTGCACTTGGAAATATTTCAGTAATTTTGCTACTTGTAACAAGATTCCTTTTTTTTTCGTTCTTAGGCTGAGTAATAAATGAAGATAGTTTAGCAAAGCTTCAATTCGGGCTAGCTCGTACGGCGTTGTAATGAAGTTGCGCTGAGCGAAAAGCAGATAGGAGTGAAGATAGTTTGTGGTTAAGAAACAAGCTGTTTCTGGTAAGCTGTTTCTGGTATGGTAGAGAATAGGTTCTTGAAGATCAATTCACATCTCTTTGTTTTTATATTATGGCCTCCGTGATTGGTTCCGAAAGCACACAACCGGATCCGATTGCAGAGGCCACGTATACAATAGCAAAATCCAAGCGTGGATTGCGTGTACTTGCGCACTTTGCTGGCCAAATTTCGTGCTTAACTTTCGTAGCATTGCACCTGTTGTGTGAAATTGCAGCATATGTTTCTGACTATGGCAATACCAACGATTGCTTCTAGGCTTATCTGGCGTCGCTTTGAAAAGTAAACGTGGAAAACATGATATGAAACTTTATTCCAGTGGATCCTTCGTTTCAACCCGAGCACAGCCCAAAGTGGGCTGCTCTGTCGGAGATCCTGGCTGAGATAAAAGAAGAGAACAAGGAGAAGGCAGACCTGAACACTGTTTTAATTGTGGCTGAGGATGACCGGACTTGTGGTCAACTCTCAGAGGCAAGTTTCTGTTCTTCGGTTTACATTAAGTTATGTTGCTATTAATTCCTAAAGCAATAACGTCAATCTGAAGATGCCCTGAAACACTTTTCTCGAGCCTCCATTTATTTTTATGTGTAGGTTATATGTATGATAGTTGTATATGCCCTTGGTACGGGCCAAAGCAGGAATATAGAAATATTTCATATTTTAATAAGGCACAGAAATTGCCGCTGACTACACCAGTGCGTAATCACCCTTGCCACTAGTATTTCTGGCAGAAACAATGTGGTCTGGCACTCACTTTCGATTGGCTAAGAGCAGAGCTGTAGATAACTACATCACTGCTGCAAAATGGTGCTTGAAATTCGGTTTTGGTTTTGTGCACTCGTTTACCCAAATTGGCAGAGATTTGTTTTTACATCGACATTAATTAATTTTCATTTCACCCCATTATTACCCCACTTCAGTTGAAAAAATTTAAAAAAGCATGCCCTTCGTGTTTCTTAGCTTCATTATCTTGGTTTCAAATGCTAGTGGTTTAAGAACAAAAAAAAAAAAAAGGAGCTTCCTATTCACACCACTTTTTTCATTTGTTTCTTGCAGTAGGGTAATTCTCCTTTATACTGACCTTTCATTCTTCTTTTGTTTCTTTTACAGTACCTTTGCAGTGGTGCTGACACCGTCCTTTGCAATCTGTACCGCAAGGCAGTTGGGGACAAAGATGGCCTGCAACTTCCTCCCCTGGGCCGCAGTGACGACAACAGCGGCGAAAGCCCTGGGAAAAGGAGAAAGAAGGCGAAAAGTGCGTCTGATGGGCAGAAAAAGAAAGGAAACCAAGATTCAGAAATGGTATTGCTTGACAAGGCATTCCTGTAACTTATATGGCATAGACTCTGCACGGGTATTGTACAGAGCATAGATGCATGGATATTGTTAGCCTCCTCTTTATAACGAAGGATGCGACCTTTCAGTTATCAAGCCGTAATCACGTGGTGACACCTAGTAAGAAGTTTCATGAGGCCGTATTCGTCTGACAGGTATAGGAGCTTGAAAAGATGCAAGATCGAAGTGCACAGATTCTACAGTGTTAAGAAGCTTCGCGAATCATTTGCGTGCATGTTAAATGTGTGCACTTGTATTCTGGCCTACATTAGACTTAATGAGTGCCCCTAATAAACTGCTGTTCAGTCTTATTGATCGATCAATCAATATATCAATCAACCAACCAATCATTTTCATCCCTAGAGAACATTGATAGTAATGACGAATACTGCAAGGTCTTTCACCACTTCTCACAATGCAGTTATTCAGTATTAAACAAACAAGCTGGTTCAAAAGTGCACTGTACTGTTTTAACCATGAATGTTGTGATAAACAGTCTATCTGAAATGTCTTTAGGACTTGGTTTTCATGAAGAAGCCCTGCTTTTGCCGTAGCTTTTTTGTTTGCTTGTAGCCAGCAAAACGGCAACAAAAGTTTTGGTGCACATACTGGTACCAATAGCAAATCGGTAGTCTTGGCTGTGTGCCCAGGCTCAGGAAATATTCATCATTTCCCAGATGCTGCGCTCTGTAAACATTCGGCACCAGTTGTACACATGACATAACTGCACTTTGCAAACGTCTAGTACTATGTACACGTAAAAATTACTATGGCACTGGTTTTAAAAATTTGTCATCACTCCTCTAGCAGTGCCAAGGTTAACGGAGCATCTAAATAAAATCCTAAATCTGCTTATAGTCATAAATCATCCTCCAACAACTTTAATGACCATTAGTAATGTGATATTGCTGTAGTTATTATTAGGAAATAAAATAAATTCATAATCCTATATTAAGAAATTTGCACCAACATCCTGGCCCATAGATGTCAGCATGATGTTATGAATTACATTATTTTCTTCTACTTTCAGAACATTGGCTTAATTCAACATGCTAAAGCTTGCAGTGGTAGGTCTCCGAGTCTCTTAGAACACAACATAATTTTTCTGAATAAAGAATTGTGTAGTCTTTAGAATATGCATTTAAAATCTATGAAATCATGCTGAGTTCATGTGGGAACCTAATTAGAGTCGTGAGCTGTATCTACTTTTTACTATTCGTGCATTTTTTTTCTTACTAAGCATCCTTATGGGCAAGAAGGACGTTTTGAGTATTGTAAAAGGGTAGCTGATTAGTGGCCCTCTAGACTGAAAATTCTTTGAATACCGCTCAGACCGTTCAGTATGCAAGCTGGCTAGGAGCTGGATGACTCTTTTGATGGTGACGCGAAACGATCGCGTTAGCTTGCGCCAATCTTTGTTCTCCAATTCTTTTCACGCCATCAAGGAGGGATCTGACATGACGGAGACGGAGACCGAGGGAATGGAATCTCCGCCCGCCTTTCCCAACACGATCTTTCACCCGCTGAAGTCGTCAGAATTCGCTCTGCAGCAGCTGCTTCACTCTGTCGAGCCAAAGTACATCATCTTGTACGACGTCAACATTGCAACTGTCAGAGAAATCGAGGTGGGTCATGAGAGCAGCGGAAACAGCTGCGGTTATCCGAGATTTCTCATTTTGTTAACTCTCCCTGCATGTGCTTTTGACGTGTGCATACCACCGAAGCTATTTATAGTGAACTGATGAACAGGATCTTCTTTTCAAGGGGCTTGTTTCTTTGTTAGATGCATCGAATTAAAATTAGAGATAAGCCAGGGGACGCATGGGGGACATTAATTCCTGTGTCGAAATGTAACATAGTAATTTTATGCTGTGAATGGAAATAAAGTAAAGTGTATGAAAAAAATCTGCCTTTTCGTTGGTAGGATTAAAACATGCGAAATCGAATTATTCGTCTGATGGCTCCGTCAGTTCAGTTGCAAAGGGGGGTGCTTCCCCGTCCACTTCGTTAGGTATTTCAGCATGTGTGGCAGCTGACCTCGCTGTGAATGAACGAATGAAAGAAAGAAAGAAGGGGAATATCTCATCAAGGGCATTTCCTGTGCCGAATTGTCTGCTGGTTTCATTTTGTTGCTGGTCTCATTTCTTGTTGTAAGTGAACTCCTGGGATGGGAAGGTAGATGCCTTTGCTACAAGTAAAGCTGTAGGCTTCTCCATCTTTCTGGGGGGCCAATTGGAAAGTACTCTCACGTGCGTCACGCATAAGCGTGTGGATTTTGTGACGTGCTTGTTCTCTGCAGATGTACCAGGCAACCAGAGCGAAGGAAGTTCTACGCGTTTACTTCCTCATGTACGAGGACTCCATAGACGAGCAGCGCTATCTCACTTCCCTTCGACGAGAGAAGGATGCCTTTGAATTCCTGATCAAGGAAAAAAGTGTGAGGGGCATGAGCTTTTATCACTCTGCTTTGCCTAGATGAAGGAATGCAATTAAAAGATTAATTATTAATATTTTTGTTGTGTGATGTTAAGGAAAATGACAAGTGTAACCTTGACCCTTTGATTATCTTTGCCGTACGTGTACAGTAGCAGTTTCTGCCACATGGTGTTCTTGCGGTACGGGTGTGTTTCTGACACCTTGTTCGAAATTTCGCGCTATAACGACAATGCTTGCTCACTGGGAGGTGCTGCTAGCTCCCAGAGCTTACAAGAAGTGATGGAAACGATTGTGCAGTCTTCTTGTGAAGATAAACAGAACTCATTTCTAGCGTAAGCACGTGGCACGATCTGTGGCAATGTCGGAGATGTTTGTTACGTGTGCAGACAGCGATAAAGGGCTGTGTGTAGACCCGTATTTCAAGGAATATTGTCCTCTTAAATACTTTAGAATGTTTTGCAGTTCTGAGCAGTGCTCCTACCAAAAAAAATTTTTCTTATTTTTAAAAATTATCCCCTACTTCACGCATTTCGTACATTCACAAATGGCAATAAAGTAATTTGACGATCCGGGAAAGTTTTTTTCCTCTGTAAAATTCCACACTCATAGGGTCAAGGGGCAAGAAGAGAGCCGAATGGGTCAGGGAGCAAAGAGGTGTTAAAGAAGTGTTAGTCGGAATGAAGAAGAAGAAATTGGAACGGGCATGGCGTGCAGTGCGTATAGGTGAGATAACCGCTGGTCATAAGCAGTAACAGACTAGATTTCAGGGGAAGGCAAGCTTGTGAGGGTTAGACAAACGCTTAGATGGGCAGATGAGATTCAGGGGTTTTCGGGGGTGAAGTGGCTGCTGTAAGCACAGGACCATGTTGATTTGTGAAACACGGGAAAGGCCTTTGCCCTGTAGTGGGTGTAGTAAGGCTGCTGATGGTGATGATGGTGAAATTCATGTAGTAAATGATGTTGACTTAGTAATTATAACAGCGTGTCAGGTATTTTTTTTAAACTAAAACATTCGTTAACCTTCTTTTTATGTACACAATTTTAATCTGCGAGATGTTTTCAAATCTTAGGTGGGGAGTTCTGCTCTTGCTTCATGTAAAATGAGGGCTTTTTCGAGGTGTCAATCATTCCCTATTTGTATCGCTCCATTACTGTGTTGCTGTGTTCTTTCGAATTCTTTCCAGCTGTATATTTTTTTTTTTAATCAATGAGACGCCCTTGCTGTTCGAGCTTTACTGGTAAATGGCATTCCTTGGCCAAGGCTAGTCTGTGCTTCGAAAAAAAAAAAAAAAGCCATATGTTATTTTTACTGATCGTCTTGTTATTTTTGTTCTCTTCAGTGCTTCTCTTTTTCTTCTTTTTTTTTTTCAAACCTTTATTTCACCTTTTACCATAATGATCTGGGGAAGTATGTCACACATTTCGCTAGACCAGTATTTACAGCTTTTATTGAAGTACCTCTCCCCCTAAGACTTGTGACGAATTGCGATAGGTTGTCTTTGGTTTGGAGTTTTTCTCGATGACCTTCAAAGATGAAACACGAAAAGCTGTTTGCCAGTTTTGCCCCTCAAGGCGTGGCGGAAAACATTGCGCCTTGTCCTTCGCAGATAATGGTGATACCCGAGGAGCAAGACGGGAAAGGGGAGTACCACCCCGACCTCATAGACGACCTCGGAAAGTCGAACGAGCCAGCCAGTTCACGAAAAGCGGGAGGCGCGGTTGCTCCTGTGTCAACATCTCGCAGGGTGCGTTTGTCTGCAGGCCTGAGAGTCGCAACACTAGTTTTTCTGAAGGTTTAGAAAGTGTTTGGTTATGACAGTAAGCACAATCACTGAAAGGTTTTTAACCCTTTGAGGGTCAAGATGTACACATATGTCATTGCCTGTATGTCTGAAGCCTGCTCCTTTTCTGACGATTTTTCTCGCCTCGGCATACGGAAATGCTGTGAAAGTGCAAGCCGATTTATCAGCTGCAGAAGTGAGCTTAGCAGCGATTCCTCGCGAGTCGCTGCTCAAAGCCACTAATTTGGCCATGCTGATGTCAACACGCAACCACATAAATCAGCTAGCACATGGCTGTACTTATCATTTAAAAGTAAATTTTTACAATTTTTTACACAAATTACTCAAATCTCAACATGGTTCCTAATGATTATTTGTGCTATGGGGCTTAGTCACACGCTAAAGCATCTTGTTTAATTAAAACATCTATTAAAGGGCTGTGTTAGCTATGCAGCGCCATAAGATGGCTTTCTTGAAAAGGCAACCACAACTTGCTAAATGAATCGACAAGGTCTCACTACTTAATGTTGTAATTAGCCACATTAGGAGCATGTGTCCCAGTAGCAACATTGCAACTGATTAAGGGGGGACGCGGCTTTGGCATCGCGAAATTTGGCCAAAAAATCGATTTTCTGAAAATCTCATTTTCACATTCTGTGACGCCTTTTCTATCTAATTTCGAAGTTTCGTCCCTGAAAACAGTGTAGAAATGACGTAACAAATTTTTATCGAAGCTAGGGTGGCGATGAATTTCACGAAAATTGCGAAAAAATGGCGTTTTTCGAACCACGATATCTCCGCAACCATGTAACCTAGCGCCGCCATCTTTGTCTCTATGAATAGCGCGATTTTTCCGTTTCAAATTTGCTGCCTCGGCCGGCTGAACCAGGCAAGAGCAAGTCCACAGCAAGCCAAAGTGTAAAGGTATCACAACAGTTTCCGATTGGCGACGCGCGTCACGTGACTATACGGCGGCTCCGCATTGGTCGCCCGTGCGGTCGCTTGTAGCAATCGGTGCAAACAGCGCTGACGGGCCGCTTACTGCATGTGTTTTCAACTCGTCGCGACGTGGTTTCGAGATCGCATCGCGCTGCGATAAGACCGGCGCTTGTGAAAGGAGAAAAACGTCGTTATCCAGTTTGGCGCTTTGCAGTTTTGAGATCGGTTCCCGCATGCGATCATGGACCGGCGATCGTTCAAGAAGAAACGCAAGACTGCGCAGGGATTTGGTGCTCGTAAGCCGAAGCCGCCGATCGTGAAAAAGAAATTCAGTCCGGCAACTTCTGCGAGCAGTGACGACGGCGTGCGGCACGACGAGGACTCGTAGCCGAGCACAAGCACGCACGGAGCCTCGTCCGCGAGCATCTACGAAACTATTCATATGCCAGTGGAGCAGTGCTTTGTGCTGTCTGAGGAAACATCCGTTCGTCGTTTCGCGCAGGCTGCAGACATCGTGGATGCTAAGCCTAGCACTTCGCGCGAGGATGTATTCATCGCGGATGCCCAGCCAAGAACTTTGCGCGAGGATGTAGACGCCGCGGATCTAAGCCTAGCACTTCCCGCGAGGATGTAGACGCCGCGGATGCTCAGCCAAGTACTTCGCGCGAGGATGCGAGGCCGTCTACCAGCACCACCAGTAGCACGATTCGGGCCCGATTAGAGCCTCGTTTCGTGTCAGCGGAAGCATCTCGAGAACGCGCCGCGGCTGTTCAGGAGTCCCTAAGCGCAGTGTCTGCGACGGAGCGCAAAATGTCACTGATGGACCAAGGGTACGAGAGCGACATCGAAACGGAAGACGAAGATGAGTTTTTCCTCGTGCAACGCACGGCATTGAATGGTCTGTTTGGCAGTGCCCTGTGCCCGCAGTGCAAAGAGCCGGGATTCAAGATGAAGCACGGAACTAAGCACGGGTTAGCGGTAAAGATGCTGCTCACCTGCACTGCTTGTGACGCGGACGCGAAAAATGCGTGGTTGTCGCCGCAAATGGAAAACAGCAAGTCATTTGAAGTAAATATTCGGGCCATGCAAGCTATAAAAACTATTGGAAAGGGATCAGCTGCACTCAGTGATTTTTGGTCTGTGATGAATGTATCACATAGGGGAATTCACCACAAGACTTTTCAAAGGCATCTCAAGGGGAATTTCGGCCTGCTGGCGCAGCAGCCGTGGCACGTGTGTTTTGCGACGCTGTTGCAGCCGTTTGCAATGTGTACAGCCAAATGGAGGGAACACCCACCAAGAATGTCACGGTGGTGTACGACGGGACGTGGATGACACGCGGCCACACGTCCCACATCGGCGTGGGCAGGGTCATTGAATTCTACACCGGATTAGTGCTTGACAGTGTTGTCCTGTCCAATTACTGTCATGGATGTGCTGTGGGCCCCAAAGAAGGCGACGACGGCTACAGTGAATGGAAGGAAGCACATGTTTGCCAGAACAACACAGAGGCAAACTCGGGCCAAATGGAAGTCGAAGCGGCCCTCATACTGTTTCGGCGCTCACTAAAAAAAAAATGACCTGCGCTACACAACCATCGTTTGCGATGGCGACAGCCGCACTTTCTTAGCTGTGTGCCAGGACCAGACTTACGGTTTTATACCCCTGAAGAAAGAAGATTGTATCAATCATGTTAAAAAGAGGATGGGCAGAGCCCTGCGGGCCATCGTCACAAAGAGCAAGAAAGACCAACCTATCGGCGGAAAAGGTGGCCTTACACAAAATTCGATCAAGCAACTGACTGACTATTATGGCCAAGCCCTTAGGCAACATGCTGAAGTGGAGGATATGCAGCAAGCGGTCATGGCTACATTCTACCACACCACTTCGACTGACCAGGATCAACACCACGAACTTTGCCCACCAGGTCCTGATAGCTGGTGCAGACACTGGGCTGCAGAAGCTAAAGGTGAACTGCAGCCACCCCATAAGTACCACCTGGGACGACACGTTGCCGCTGCCCTGCTGCCTGTGTACCAGCGACTTTCGGACCCACAGCTTTTTGCACAATGCCAGGGCAAAAAAACTAAAAATGCTGCCGAAAGCCTGCACTCAATTATTTGGTCAATTCTGCCCAAAGAAGAGCATGCTTCATTGATAGCCGCAGAAACTGCTGTCAGTGAAGCAATCTGTAGGTATAATGCTGGGAACCTCCATGCCTACACCCAACTTTGCACATCTCTTGGTCTCCAACCTGGACGTCATGCACTTCGTAGAGCAGCCGAAAAAGATGTCATGCGGAAAAAAAAAAGGCTGCGAAAGCTCATCAGGCTAAAGGTCAGATGGCCAAGCCACGCCGCACTGCAAAGGACACTAAGGACTACAACCCTGGTGCCTATTAGGCATGTAAACCGTGACTCAAGACTTTGAACCTCGTTTTCTCAATACTGTTTTTTTGGCATGTTGCTCAGCTCGTGGAGCAGATATCTTCGCAACTACTTGACAGATTTTGATTCTGTTTTTTTTTTTTTTTGTAATGCTCCTTGAACTGTGCTTCAGGGGGCTACGTTTTTATTTTTAAAATTTAGTCTTTTAAAAATTTTTGGTAGGGTTTCTTGTTTGTAGTGCAAATGTGCTCATTGAAGTATCAGTGGAGAAAACATGAACTACAAATTTTAGTGTTGCAAAAAAATTATTTTGAAAACCCAGCCCCCTAGAGCATACATTCACCTCTGCACACAGTGTTTACCAACTTTCTATGTCATTTTTTAAACTCTGCAGCCGCTCCACGAGGTCCAGTAATGAAATTATTTGTTTCTCAAAAAGTTTTCATGATATCATCTTGCAATTTTTATGGAAGCATTATGAGGTCATTCTTAGTCTCTGTGCCAATTTTCATCAAGATCTAACGAGAAACAAGAAAGTGCGTTCCGAAAGGCACGTCCCCCCTTAATAATTGAGGAATAACCATCCAGTGAAAATCACTTGTTGGGGAGGATCTCTTATGTGATAAAACGTTACCAAGAATGAATTGATCTAGTTGTGACCTAATAGGACTCGTTTTTTTTCTATTCTGATAAATGTTAACTGAAGCCTGACTGCTGTGAAGGCACATGTCGTGTTTAAAAAAGGCAGTGTTGTGCTCGATGCATCGTTTTAGAAATTGTTGGAACAGAATCGCCAGCGCATGAGTTATGATTGTGTTGCTCGCGATGCTCAAGTATTCTGTCTACTGAATATTAATGCGAATTTCTCTGTACATATCGCTTGATTGTTTTCATCTTCTCTTCCAGGTCATTGTGGATTTGCGAGAGTTCCGTAGTGAACTGCCCTCACTCATTCACAGGCGAGGGATTAACGTTCAGCCAGTCACCATAGAGGTAATGCTAGGTTCGCTTTTGCCTCTGCGGCGCCAGTGTGTACGAATGGGTTCACGTTATCCTTGCGCTCGTTGAATTTCATCCATTCATACTGTACAGGTGGTAAAAGAAATACATCATGCATTCCAGCTTCTCATGGTTAAAGATTTTTCCACGCGTAATACTGAAATGCCTGTGTATTGCTGCATAAGGTCTCTAAAGAATTCCGGCTGCGAGGTTGGAGCCGATGTTATTATTGGCTGTAATGGCGCGAGATTTATTCATAAGAAATGTAATTTGATCGTATCAAGAAGCATCTGCAGGTGTCAAATTAGCTTAATAAAGTTAGTCTTAAGTCAGTAATTTATACCAACGAGCCAAGTGCTTCCCGTGACGTGGGATACACTCCTACACCTAATCTCCATGCTTAGTAAATACGCTTTATCTCTGTCTCATTTCTAACACTGCAGTTGCTCGCCTTGTGCTAACTTTCTTAGAAAAATAAAGTCGCCTGTCAACGCTACATGATTTCTTTTCATGCAACGGCACTGAAATTAAATTGTGTGCTATTCACTGTGGCTCGCATCTTTCAGGTTTTTTTCGTTGCTCAATTGTGTTTTTTCAGCTCCTACATTTGTTTTTCTACACTGCCCTGGAAAATGTATCTGCAGGGTTCTTCTATATTTTCAGAAATGGTGTGCGCAATAGGGCCAGCCATATGAAGAAATGTTTAAACCCTATTGTAAGGGCTGACAGAAATATATATAAGCTAATTATCAGACACCGGAAGAAATAAAAAAAAATTGTGGGACTTGGTTCCGCAGAGCTTCTGTTCTTTAACTGTTTTTTGGTACTTGATATAAAAACTGTTTCACGTGTCTATGCTGAAGGAATAGAGGTAATGACAAGAGGGGGGGGGGGGTTCTTTTCAGCAGCTGTTTGTTCATGCAAAGTGACTATAATCTACATTCCATGAGAGCTGTCTCTTTGCCCTGAATAACACTGTAAACGTTTCATCAGTGTAAACGCGCATTGTGCAGAAATATGTTTTCAGAGGCAAGAACAAGCTGTTTACGAAGTCTCCAAATAAGACTCAACAGTTGTGACAAATCGTGACAAATTGTGGCAACATTTGCGCTGCTCCCATAGGCTCTACTTTTCTTAAAGTGCTCTGACGTTTGTCCTTGTAAAAGCAAAAGGTAAAATATTGAAGACAGGAGGTACGCATTTTTTACCTTGTTTATTTGCACTACGGTTTTCAATGTATCAGAAACACGCACTTACTGGTAGGTGACATTTTGCAAAACTTGCCTGCTACAGTAGATAGCTTGGAAGGAATATTTTGAGGTTGTTTAGTGAATGAAGGCAGTACAATTTTGGAGACATCATCAAGCACTGTATTTGGATGTCATAATCTGCTTCCCGTTTCTACTGGGAAAGTTTTTGTTTAGTTTGTCACATGAGGTGGCCGTGTGCAATTAGAAAAAAACATTTTTATTTGGTGTAAGCACTGCCTTGCCATTTCGTTTCAGGTTGGTGATTACATCCTGACGCCAGAGATCTGCGTAGAACGCAAAAGCCTCAACGACCTCATCGGGTCCCTGAACAATGGCCGCCTGTATAACCAAGCGCAGGCGATGTGCCGTTACTACAAGCGCCCCGTCCTTCTCATTGAGTTCAACCAGAATCAGCCTTTCTGCCTTCAGGTGGGCTAGCTTCGGTTTCATCATTTTGTTCTAAACGCTGCATCGATGAATGTTGTCTCATTCTTCTAAGAAATGGCTTTCTGTATGTACTGGAAGTTTTAAAAACCTTTGTAGGAGTTTGCGCAAGTATTCTCTAAAGTCATTGCAATTGCTTTGTAAAAAGCTGCAAATCATCCCAGTGGGCTAGTTTGTCGCGCTTCTCTAGCATTTTTGGAAAAACCGTGAATGACACTGCAACGCAAGTATAATATCCATGACCAATACGATACCGGTCATAGACATCTTAAACATTCGAAGTAGCACTAGCAGAACATGTAGGTAGGTCATGTGCATAGTAGCGAATGCAGAAACTCTTGTTCCTTACTACACCAGGAATACCATAGAATTCTGAGCGAGTGCCCTTTCCCTTTTTGGGAGGTTTGCAATAGGCGCCAGTGACTGAGAAAGCGCCCTCCCATTGCCCATCCTCTCCCGCTATTCTTTTTTTTTTTTCAGACTGTTCTCTGCTACAAAATCCTGCTAAAAAGGTATCTAGGAAACCAAGTTAGGAGAGTTATATAGTGTTATGCCTCGTGGTCGCATTCTGAGTTTTCGCATATTGTCGGGACATTTGAAGAATGGCGCTTCCCCCCTTGTCGTAGCACATGAAATTTCACGCAAGGAAAGCGTCAACTTCAGTAAAAACAGTGAATATTGGGGTATTCACTAAAGCATTTCATTAGGAGGACAGGTGCGCATTCTTTTTAGAAGCTCTTCCACCACCGTCTTGGGATTTTGATCCATTACTGAGCAAGAGACACCCCTCCAAGTCTTGCCCTATTATCCTTCTCCGCAGGGAGTGTGCTTGCTCGAGATTTCACAGTAGTTGGGACGCTTCAGTTCATCTGCACGATTTTCAGCCTAAGCAGGGGTGTTGTAACACACACTTTGTGATCTCCGTGAAAGAGAGGTGCATATACTCCCACTGAAGGGAAATCTTTTAAATGGAAGTGCTATTTAAATGGAAAAACTACTTCCAATATCATTGGTATCCTATTTGATTTCCGCAACCGTGTTCGTTTCTCATGAACTGGAACTCCTGGTAAATGGAACATATTTTTTTGGTCCCTTCAGGCTTCATTTTGTGGGAGTATGCCGTATATGTACTGCATATTACGCGCACATAGTGCGCACCTATCATGCTGCAATAAGGGGAAAAATATTGGATGGAAAGGTACTGCTCAGCACAATGTGTAGCGGAGGTAATACTTCCGTATACTTGGATTTTAGGGAAAGCACGTCCCGTCATCGGAGTCGACCTCATCGCAGACTTTTGTCTCGAAGCTGATCCTGCTGACGATGCATTTCCCACGCCTCCGTCTGCTGTGGTGTCAGAGCCCGTATGCCACAGCCGAGATCTTTGACATTCTGAAGGTCAGAGAACTGTTGGTTTTCTTATTTAGTGCATGCTCTATCGTTTTACTATTTTCTCAGTTTGAGGTTTGCCGTGGAACTACATTGTGCAAATGCCTGATTGCTATGCCTGATTTATCTGAAAGTTGAAACTGAGTTGCAGTGTTTGATACCAGAGTGCACGTTGGTTTGTGCATTTCTTTTTGTGCTACCAGTATTTAACTTTTGTTCTCTCTTCTTACCCACCTCTGCTGTCGCAAAATAATTAATAGATATAAAACGCACCTACCTATGCCACATCATTGATAGCTTGCGAGAAGACGAATCTGGGTGTTTTGTATTCAAAAAAAAAAAAAAAAACATCGCTTGTCTCACCTCTTTTTCCTCGCGTGTTTCTTCTCATTTTGCGCCACCTGCTCAAGGATAATTGATAGGTTATGAGACTAAGTGCTCAGGCTTGTGCATATGCAGCAATACTGAGAAAGAAGTGTGTCTTGAAGAAAAGTTGCTCTTGTATAAAGGTCGTTTAAAGATTACCCTACAAAATGTTAGAACACGTGTGTTCTTTTTACCATTACTCTGCGCACCAAAGAGCTGATGCAGTGTCAACGCCCAAAGTATCTGCTTGGCAAAGATTGCTTGTTTCTTTGGGCATTAAACATGACTGATCTGAATTTTTATGTCCCACTTTCCTGCTTCTTGCTTTCTCGCTTACTCTATAAGTGTTTGTGCTGTGCGTTATTTCGTGCAGTCATGTCAGTGGCATTTTAGATACTTTTATGTAACGTCATAAGCAAAAAATATTCGACATCAAATTCATGTTCCACGGGCAAGGTTGGTGTCGTGCCTTAGATTCAGGTTATATTGTAATTTGTGCTTTTATAGTTGAACATTATGCAGCACTGTGGAACGTTTGGCTACTTTGCACTCACATTTTGTCTTTAATGACTCCTTAATTAAGGTGGTTTCAGTGTTTTCTCTCTTGTTCCTTCAAGGGTTACCTTTTTTTCAATGTTGTAAGGTGTTACAGTGCACTGTATGGTTTACACACAAAGAAATAAACGAGTCCAGAAACCACATTCTCTATCCTTATCTCCTAATGTGATCTGCAGATTGGGTTTATTGCCTTTTCTGTTTTGTTTTTTTCCAGCATGGAAAAGAGGAACCGTCTGTGGCAGAGGCGCAGGCAGTGACGGAAAAGGAACTTCAAGACAGTGGCAAGTCAAGTGACAAGTACAACCCTGCTCCGCAGGTATGTACACAGCAGTTCTGGGTAGGCTGCACTGAACTAGGTTAACTACTGCGCTCTAAATGATGCTTTGTGCGGGTGTCTCAAGCCTCGTCCCTTTCCTTGCTTTGTGCACTTTCACTTTCTATCATTCGAGCAAAACAATTTCTTAAAGCCTGCGTTGGAATGTGTGCGCTGGAATTTACAGGGTTCTCAGGCCTGCACTTCTTGCCATTCTCTTTATCGCGGTGTACTAGTGTATCTGTGCGAATCGATTGATTTTTCCCTACAAGTTATGAAAACTTGTTTCCAGGATTTCCTTCTTCATCTGCCTGGTGTCAGCTTGAAGAACTACACCTCGCTGATGCGCAAGTTCACGAGTCTGGCTGACATGTTCAAGGCGTCAGAAGAAGAGTTGTCGTCGGTGATGGGAAACGCAGCCCAAGCCAAGGCTCTCTGGCAGGCCATCCACAACCCCATTGAGCACAACCAACAGAAAGCAGTGCCGCAGCGGAAGTTTCGAAAGAAGTAGCGCTGGCTTTGTATTTTAATGTGTACATAATGTATATAGGCTATCGTTTTGCTCACACGGTTATTGTCCAAGTGGCCTTGGGTACTGCTTATATGAAGATCATTGTCATTAAATGCTTAAGTAGCTCCTGCATTGTGTGACAATCCGGTGAACGTTCATGATGTGCTTGCGCATCACCATCACATTGGGCTAGCTCCGATGGAATCATCATTGTGGCTTTATATAATCCCAAAGCATGTCTTGTTTATGTACTGACGTTTACTATGAGCTTAATTATTTGCATTGCAGGTCACTGTGAAATGAATGATTTTGTTAGTATTTAAGACATTAAAAAGACACTAAGGGGAAGCACTAAATTAGCTTATATTTTTACAGTATTTATTCAATAGTAGGAAGTCAATTACATTGTTTAACATTACATTTAATTGGGTTCTGCTGGGCCCCAAATAATTTGGCTGCGAATCTCAGCTTTCTTGATATTGGAACCAAAGGAAGCCTTGCTTGGCCAATGTTTAGCTGCTCCCAGAGTAATTGGAGGAGTTTTGCAATCAAGATTGTGAGATCTTAATTGTGCATTCAGGTCCGAATATATTAACACCTCAGTGGTCTGCACTGGAGCGGGATGCTCATATTGAACCGGGAAATTGTATACTGAGCACTCGATTTCTACTGGCCAGTTATAAACTGCTATAACCACACTGCTAGAGTGCTCTAGTGCATTTGAAAATGAGCTGTTGACTCTGTTGTTAAAAAATAAATTAAGGTTGATATTTTTTTGAAGCAGAAACTGTGGCAGTGGCATAATAGTGAAAGTTTATGGATAGAGAAGCAATTCTTTTTAAGGTCACGGCAAAAAAGAAAAAGTCATCAGAACTTGCTAAGTTCTTACTTTTGTGCAGTTAGGGCAATACATTCAGGAAATTTATGCCTTAGCATAAAACTTTCAACTTGTCCTCACAGGAAGCTAGTACTGAAATTTTTTTGCTAGGGTATAGTGTAAGGAGGTGAGAAGGTGGCGGCAGCCTATACTTAGCGATGCATTGTTACAACTTTCTAATTTCTTAAGTCGATTTGATGGTGTGGCTGCATCCTCTATGAGTGTATTTCAACAGTGTTCAATTTCATGGGAATAAAGAACTGGCTTTGCAGGTTGGTGCTTGAATGCTAGTACAATAAATGAGAAGCGTTTTTACAACTGTTGTCTGTATGCCTCGAGCGCCTTCCCATTTTTTCTTCAGTAATCGAGGACCGCTGACAACCAATTGTTTCGTTTAGAATGGAAAGTTGAGCGAATTGGGAAATTTGTATGATTGGCACAGTGATGAAAGATGCGAAGTTGTAAAACTGGAAAGAACAGAATGAGCATTCTCTTGCAACTGAAAGATTTATTTTGAAGAAAGATAGAAAAAGGAAAATAAAGCTGTAAAATCTCCCTGTGGTAAATTGTACATAGGCCAAAGAGGCAGGTGTGTTAACATTTTCTTGAAGGAGCACAATCAGTCTTTTGCGGACGACCAATGCGTCACATCTTGTGTCGCATCGCTGTGCGTGTAATTGCCTGCCTGTTCTTATATATGTGCAAATACTACCTAGACGCAGTTGTAAATTAACTCGCGAGGTTATCGAAGCCTTTCACAGGTAGACGCATGCGTTAGTCATGCATTGATATTGTTGACCGGGAGTTTACGTATCTGCTTGGCCCGTGTAATGTTGATTGATTGATATGTGGGGTTTAACGTCCCAAAACCACCATATGATTATGAGAGACTCCGTAGTAGAGGACTCCAGAAATTGCGACCTCCTAGGGTTCTTTAACACGCACCCAAATCTGAGCACACGGGCCTACAGCATTTTCGCCTCCACTGAAAATGTAGCCACCGCGGCCGGGATACAATTCCGCGACCTGTGGGGCAGCAGCCGAGTACCTTAGCCACTAGACCACCGCGGTGAGGCAACACGTGCAATGTTAAGCGACATATTTCATTTTCTCACTTTTGTGCAAGTCTGTTGTGCTTCGCTTTGTTTACATGGTTTTTAAAATAAATCTTTCAGTCGTGAGATGTTGCTTGTTCTGTGCTTTCTGGCTCCACATGTTCCTCTTTCAATGCAGTAGCAACCATGCAATTTTTCCCACTTCTGCTATAGCAGCGTGTCAATATACAGGTCGTCAGTACTTCGAAAAGTAGCAGTAGTTTGATTCAGCAACAAACCCGGTCATGCTCTACACCCATGAGTGTAATTCGAAATTGAGGACTGTGATCCAAACATAGTGTTACGAACTATCCAGTTAGCGCACTCATCAGTTTGTGCACCTGAATTATGCAGAAATTATTTTTCTTTTCGACAAGCCTGAACCGAACTGCACATTGGTATGACGATAGTTATGGCGCGAGAACAAAGCGACGACACAGAGACAAGAAGGACACGAAGGACACGGTGTCTCTGCCTCTGTGTCGTCGTTTTGTTCTCGCGCTGTAACTATCGTCGTGCCATACCAACTAGCCCAAGCTGCCACACTTTAATGTACGTTGGTGTATGTGTTAGTGTTGCCAAACTGAAAGCAAGCGTCGGGAATACAGCGGAACGAGTTTCGCATGATAAATGTCATTAATATGAGGGGCTTAACGTCCCATAACCACGATATGATGAGAGATGCGGTAGTGAAGGGCTCCGGAATTTTAGGCCATGTGGTGTTCGTTAATGTGCACTGACGTCACGCAGTACACGGGTCTCTGCCATATCGCCTCCGTTGAAATACGACCGCCGCGATTGGGATCGAACCCGTGACCTTCGGGTCAGCAGCCGAGCACCCTAGCCACTGTTCCACCGAGGTGGACAGAGAGACAATAGAAAAAGGAAGACTGAGGTAAATTCACGAAAAAAAAATCTTGGCGCGAGCTAGCATAGCTGCCCTGCATTTTTTATCCTAAAGAGTAGGGAAGAATAGTTTCTTGTGTGCTGCATACATCAAATAATGTTCACGGGTAAACTTTGCCACTCGAAGTACGCACGCTCATTTGGATGTTAAGGTTGGGGCACACCGGCGACTAGCAGCGGTCGCGCGACCATTTGCGACTGGCGCTGGACAGTGGGCTTTGCCGCGTTAAGACTATGCATGCGAAGAAGCCGACTACACCGGTTTCACGCCAGTCAGGTTCGACCTACGGGAAGGCTCACGTGAGGGGCTCGCGTTGCAGGGGCGGCGCCAGGGGGGGGCAAGGGTGGGCTGGAGCCTTCCCAAAATTCTCGCCTGCCCCCCCTATGCCCACCCAAGTGCCCGAAAGCATATATTGAAAACCTAGTAGGAGCAGAGCTAGCTTGCCCCCCCGGAGGAACTCACTTTTCGTGGTTGCCCCCCCCCCCCCCCCCCAGTAAAAACATCCTGGCGCCGCCCCTGTCGCGTTGGCAGACATCAATAAACTAAAAAAAAAAACGGGTGGCTTTTAACTATAAAGAGATGGTTTCAAAGCAATGACACAATTGACTGTCAACGCTGAGAGACAGCTATTTGTAGGTTTTTGCTAGCTGTTGCTAATATTTTCAGCTCAGTAGTCGTTTGTCCGTGACTCACTGTAGGAGACCTACAAGATAAACTCGTTGAAAATGCACTGATCACGCACGCATGCACTTGTGTTTGAGTTGCAGAGCGCTCGCCACTCTTTGGGAGGCAGGTCAGAGATAATGCTTAATGTCACGACGCGCGCCTGCCGTAACTTCTTTTCTCCGTGTCATCCCTCTTTGCTTAGCTTCTAGGGCGTTCGTCAGTACGACAGAAGAGAGAGAGAGAGAAACAACATTTATTTACGCATCCGGCGTGCGGGAAGTCACCGGCCGCGCAGGGCGCGGGTGTTCCCTATCTGAAGACTATGGCTAATAGAGTCCTATAGTCCCAGAAAGCAATTAGATCGTGCATCAAATCTCTCTAACTGCTCCCGTACTTAACGGATTCAAAACTTTTTTTTTGTGGTGGTCGATTCGTGGGGCAACGGACTTTTTTTAGTGTACCCACTCGATAGTTACACAGAAGAGTTTTGCAGGGCCCCTTTAAACCGTCCTCGCCACGCTCTTGCGAATGGCCTCAGGCCTGGCCGACCATCCGAGCTGGATCGCTGGATTCACGGACTGCTACACCGATCTCCGTCAGACTTTCTGAACGATATGCATCAGTGGGCCTTCATTCATCGTGACCACTGAACTACGATTCTTGACTCGGGCTCAGAGATAGAGCACAGTTCATGCACAGTTCAGTACTGGTAAAAAGTTACCAGGCCACGCTTTCATAGAAGTACGCGGGATAGTGGCCTGGGAACTTATGACCCCCCCCCCCCCCCCCCCCCCGGACATCGCGGAAACCGGCCTAATTTAAGATAAATTGATCCTTTATGCCGTTGGGCACGCTTTCAGTATAGAAATTTAACAAAAATTTGAGACTAACATGAGACATGTAGGGTAGATGAATAAAATGATTTATGGCACGCAGACATCGAAACAATAAGAATGAGATTTGGCAGGCAGAACAGTGAAGGTTGCTTTTATAGTCTGAATTGGTGGCAACAGTAGTAGAGCTTTATTGGAAAACTGAAGATCGTCGGCCTGGCCTGAACCACTGTATCTCGGTCCAGCCGCATGGCCCCGATTTGGTATTGTTTCAAAGTACCGGAGCGTCTAGCCAACGATTTTCAATGACAGTGGCTACAGCCTTATTTGATAGTCCCGAGGAAAATGACAAAGGAAGCCCTAGGGCTTCCCATTAACGAAGTCCGCATTTTTATGGTCCAAGAGCTTCGCTGTATACACAGACGCCCGCAGGGGGGATGGGGGAGGGGACTCCCTAGTCACCTAGGCAGGGGATGCAAAGTCAGCCGCATACATTGATGCGCGCTGCGACTTGGAAAAAGGGGGGGGGAGGGGAGGGGGAGGGTGGGTTGTGAAGAAAGCCCCATACATTGACCTAACAGGAAGGGGAAGGCGCTGCAACAAACTTTTGCCCCCCCCCCCTCCCGAAAAGCCTGCGCATGCTTATGGCTGTATGCGCACATTTCCAGAGGACGTATTCTATGCCGGTGTATTGGTGTTTGCAGAGGCTACAGATAGCTTCCGAGGTAGATGCGAGTGAGGCATGTGTGCTCTATTTTGAAATGTCGACGTCTGTAGACGTCCCCTGTATACCTCTGGTGGTCTATGATGATGATGATGATCCTGGGATGATTGGCACCTATCCCACCCAGCGGATCGGCCTATTTAGATTCGTATGTGCATGGTTGCGGGTGTTCTTTTTGTTTCCTGCAATGTTGCTTGATTCATTGATTAATATTTGGGGTTTAACGTCCCAAAACCACCATATGATTATGAGTGACGCCGTAGTGTAGGAGGGCTCCGAAAATTTCGACCACCTGTGGCTCTTTAACCTGCACCCAAATCTGAGCACACGGGCCTACAGCATTTTCGCTTCCATCGAAAATTCCTGCTATGGGCCTTGGTCAATAAAAAAAAAAATCCCTTTGTATGGCATCTTTGTCTTATGGTTGTTTCGAAAGGTCATTGTCTCGAAGAAAGTAAAAGCGGGGAATTTAAAGCCAATCTAACGAGGTGGATACAAACGATCTAAAGTCACGTATTAATCGAATTTGAAGGTATTTTTGTTTTGTTTTGTCGCCAAGGGAAACTAGTTCATACCAACGATGTATATGATGATGATGATGTCCCCATATAGATGGCGTCATCCACAAAGGGGGATAGACCAACAACCTGGTGCTGGGTGATTAATGTAATGGACTATGAAACTAAAACAAAGCACAATTCCGATGGAGGCGGAAATGTTGTAGGCCCGTGTGCTCAGATTTGGGTGCACGTTAAACAATCCCAAGTGGTCGAAATTTCCGGAGCCCTCCACTAAGGCGTCTCTCATAATCATATGGTGGTTTTGGGACGTTAAACCCCACATATAAATCAATCAATCAACTAAAACAAAGCACGGAAATCAGTATAACAATAAAACTTCGAAGAAATGAAAATGATTACTGAACAAGCGGTCAGGCCATTTAAGCTTCCTGTTAGAAATAACGACGAATTGCGAACCGAGAATATGAGTACATAAAAATATACTAACACGGTAACCATTTTGTTATTTGATGTATTCGAACACAGTAGAGCAAATATCCCCGTGGCAGACCTAATCAAGTACTACCAAATGATAAAATTATTGCAACATTCATTACTAATCCTAACTTTTGAAATGGGAATTTTTTTTTATAACGACAGCGTCGGCAGAATAAAAGAAGTCTTTGATTGTTTCGATTTTGTTGCACAACATGCACCATGGGGAGGTCCTGAGTCCAGCATTGTTTAGGTAATAATGTAGCTGCGGAATTCTACAGCGTAATCTGGTGTAAGAAAGTTCTAACTGGTGAGGTACACACCACTGTTTGTTCCAGCAATGCCTCAGATGCACTAAATCTATACATTTATCCAATAATAGTTTACCTGTATCACTCTGCAAACGAGATTCCTCAATCTTAATACTGGCGCGTAAAATTAAGCCGTATCTGGTAGAACTGGGAAGGGTCCACTGAGGGATACTGTGGCTAAACGGTTCGCCATTGCGCTCAAATATAATCCTCGGTGGCCTGGTACTCACAGTAAATTAAGCTTTTGTAAACTTTTCGGTATTACAGGGTAAAGCGTATTCATCACTGCTAAATTTTTTGCCGCAGAAAGTGCAGTACACACACACACACACACACACACACACACACACACACACACACACACACACACACACTATATATATATATATATATATATATATATATATATATATATATATATATATATATATATATATATATATATATATATATATATATATATATATATATGCTGAACGTCTGCAAGTATGGCATGTGACTGCAGGTGATTCGATTGAAGGAATTTTGCGCAGAGCTAGAGAACAATAACCAATAATTCTGCAATGAATACAGGGATATAATCTGGGAGTCGAATTGAAAAGGACCAGTCAAGAGAAAAAAAAGAAAACGGCAGAAACAGAATCTTCTTCCTTCTTCACGCAGACGACACCAATCATTTGGAGCCAAAAGTGGTGAACGCAAATAGCATTCAAGGTGCGTGAAACAGAGCAACCTCGGTAGGAAATTCAAACAAGCTTGATAAAAATTTGCACTAAACCTGGCCCATTCGTAAAAAGCAAGGAAATCAGCATCGGTTTTCGTCTTTCTCGTTTTCTCCCACTTGAACGCAATGGACAATCGCGCGGGTGCTCGCGCCACGAGCGCCGCTCGTGCCGTGCCACAGGCTGCCACCGGCTACGAGGCACGGTCGACCGTTCCAGAGCAGCCTCCAGGGATCCGCCCGGCGCCCCGGAGCCTCGCCTTGTGAGTGGTCTTCGCCTTTCTATACCTCGCTTTGCTACTCATAGCGCTCGTTCTTGGCCCCTCGACGTGCATGGCACGACGTCTTGAGGCGGTTTGCGCCGCAAGTCGCCCTTCAAACCGGCGCAGACGTGATCGGTGCTTGGTTGACGTGGCCGTTCGGTCCCCTCGCCGCTTCAGTCGTGCCATCCAGAACCGTGACGCGAATAAGAGCTCTACTTACGCGTGATTCATTCGCCGCGAGCAACGGTATAATGTATACTTACAGCGACCCTCGCGTTCTCTGCTGCTGTTTGTCACGCGGAGTATCCTCCGACGTGCTCGTCCTCTAGTGTACTCCGAGCCTTGGGAGCGGCTGCTCCTGCTACCGACTCGTTGGCTATTTGTCGCCGTTGCATTATCCCTTGCTGGCTCTGTCGCGCGTCGTTCGATCACCAGTAGACTGCGTAATAGCTAGTATTCAGGTGTCTTATTTGTGACCGAAGAGCTCTTGCGAGACATGTACTGCTACCGCAAAGCTGAAATTCTGCCCCTTCAGTCAATTCTGCCCTAGCTGCACCTCTAGCTTAGCATGCGTGTTTACTTAGTAAAAAGGAGGTAGGCCTCTGGCTGAGGCGTACCTCCTTGCTTTACGGTTCATCACACCGTGTCTTTCACCCTTTGTATCCTCTGTTCTTCGATAGTGTTACCGAAAGATACATTCCACGCATGCTTTTCTTTCGCACTGTAAAAAAGCGTGGTGGAAGCCCTCGTCGTCGTCGTGATCATCATCATTATTGGCGCGCGCTTCGCGTTCTTCGCTTCGGGCGGCGAGCGCGTGCTTGCTCGTGCAGCTGGCGCTTCGTGGCCGGCCATGCGCGCGTGACCCTCGTGGCCTCGAGTCGGCCGGTCGGGCCAGTCCGAGCACTAGCGTCAGAACGGTCGGTCGCGTCCCGGGATGCCTCCGCCCCTATAGCTTGAGCCCAGCTGTCCTTCGGGAAGCTGGTGGCTTAGGCTTCCCAGGGTTTCTCCTCTTCCATCCGGGTGAGCCTGCCTCTGGCGTTCTTCGCCTCTTTCTTGGTTTATTCTCCCCATTTTCCGTTGTACGGGCCCTGCACCATTTTTTAGGCCTAACTTACGTGGGTGTGTCTTAGGCGTAGCGCGTTCGTTCGAACGCTTGGGCGCAAGGCCTAACGTGGCATTTTTTGCTAGGCACTTAGCCTTATTTGTGGCCTGCACTTCTTGCCTTTTGTGGCTATTGCTTTTGCCGTAGTCGTTTAGTCTGCGGTTTTTATTAGCTTTTACCACGGCGGTTAGCATCTAGAGGTTGATTGGTCGATTTCATTCTCGTGATGCCTTTCGGCTTGACTGGCCCGAGCACCTTGCGCTTTTTCGCGATACAACCCGGTCTTCTCTATTTTGCGTGGAGCAATGGCCAACTCGAAGTTTTTCTTCCGATTTTTCTTTTTCGCTTGGCACCAAAATTATTTTTTGTGGCCACAACTATTTTTCGCCCTGATCGCTTTATTTGCGGTTTCAGCTTTTACGGTTGCTGGACAATACAGTGGTTATTACTTGGCTTTTTGAGCTCGTGTGCTAGCTTGAGGCCCGACTGACCCCACTCGTTCACCATGTTTTACGCGGAGCTGTTTGATACATTCATATTTTGCGTGCAGTCACTGCTTATTGAACTGTTCTTAATGCCTGTTGCCTTTTCTGTTTTTCTTTTTCACTATTGTTCATAATTGTTGGCTTGATTGTGCCTGACATTTGTTTTTTTTTCCTACTGTGCAGCCGCCTCTGAGGCGATCCCTTTCATCGCTTCGGCCGCTTCCCGCCTACCACCGGCACCATGCCCGAGGAAGAGGATGATGATGCGAAGAAAAAGAAGGGAAAGAAGGGCTCCAAGGGCAAGAAGGGGAAGAAGGGATCCAAGGGGAAGAAGGGCAAGAAGGGCTCCAAGGGCAAAAAGGGGAAGAAGGGCTCCAAAGGCAAGAAAGGAAAGAAGTCTCCCAAGAAAGAGTCTGAGGGAGAGGCCTCTGCGACCGAAGAGGGAGGATCCGGCGCGTCCTCAGCTGGATCGTCGCCCAAGGCTTCTCCGGCAGCTAGCGCTCCGGCTGCTGCACCGGCTGCCGGAGGTTCACCGGCCGCCAAGCCCGCTGCCGGCTCAGCCCCTGGTGCTGCCGACGCTCAAGGCGCTGCCGGCCCCGTGCAGAAGATGGGTGGTTACTACAGCGAGGCACAATCCATGTACGACGACGGGTACGACGACGACTTCTACGTGGACATCACCTGCTATCCGCCACGAAGCCGTGGTGGTTCTCAGCAACAAGGCGGTTATGGAGGGTACGAGGACCCTTACGGCTATGGTCGCTGGGCCCCGCCGAGGCCGATGCAGATGCCCATGGGCATGGGCATGTGGGGAGGCATGGCGACCCGAGACGTGAGTCAGCAGATGGGTCCTCAGACAACCACCATACCTCCAGGCTCACCGCCGATGGCCTTCAAGACTCCGTCGACTACTGTGGTCGTCAACACGAGTGGTGAGAGGATCAACCGCAGCGGATCCCGCCCCATGTCGCCAGTGATGGGCATGGGTAGCATGCAAGGAATGGGTATGGGCATGCAAGGAATGGGTATGGGCATGCAAGGAATGGGCGGCATGCAAGGAATGGGTATGGGCATGCAAGGAATGGGTGGAATGAACATGCCTGCCATACCTGGAAACAAATCGCCCATCGTCATGTCGCAGCCGCTGACCGGGACCGGACTGACGCCCCAGATGCAGCAGCTCCTTCTGCGAGGAATGCCTGGATACACGGCCACTGTTGTGCTCATCCTGGTACCGAACCCTTAGACATCCGGAAACCGTAGCAATAAAACTTCAAATTGGCTCCACTCAGCCCATGCGTCCTTAGTCTTTATTAGTCCTAGGAGCATGCCTAGATAGGATACGCTTACAGCAGGGACGCTCGCGATAAGTTAGTGCAAGGACGAGTTCAGTTGGAATGCCTTGTGCCGTCCTAGTTACGAAAGGTAATTTCATTTGTTTCTTATTCTGCTAAGGGCATAAAATAAAACATTGAGAAACTTTTCGCTAGTGGCCGTCTCATGGAAACGAGAAAAAATGGATAGAAAGCGCCGGTATGATCGCGGGCCCGGTTCTCATCGCCTTGAAACCTCGGCCGTGCCGCAAAGAAGAAAAGTCTGTTTGCGCGACATTGACCTTCACAAGCTATTGTGGAATGCATATTGCAAGTTTGTTTGTTTGTCCCTTTTTTATCCTGGCACAACCCACCATGGGGGATCGGCCACGAAACGGTGTCTTGATATTTAAAAGGAAATGTTCATGATTTCGAAATGCTAAGTGAGTAATGAATTTGCTAGATTTTGATAATTTTTTAACGATGAACTTGACATTCCGTTCTTCTCGTCTCCCGAAGGAAATCGCGAACGGCATCGCAAACGCTCTACTGGCTACAACCCAGCACGGTAGTCCCAAAGGAAAGAAGAACCGGAAGGGATACATTTAATCTCAACTTCGAAGTGGTTCGTGATGGTGATGATGATGATGATGATGATGATGATGATGATGATGACCTCTTATGGATGGCGCTCACCCACAGAGGGGGATGGGCCAAGAACCGGGCGGCAGGATACTTAAATGAAACTAACATGAAAATGAAGCCAATCTGAAAAAGTAGTTCAAAAATAATACTACAAAAAAAGCAAAAATGTTTGCTGAGCAAGCGGTCAAACCATCTCTTGTTTTTGATAGTCATAACTACGAATTATAAACTAAAAAAGTGGTTCGTCTAGAAGTCTTTTCCTCTGATTGGTGAATAATCTGCACGTTAGAAAGAAATGATCAAGAAATTCACACTCATTGCAATGGGGGCATAATGGTGACTGTATACCAGACCAAACCTGTGTGGGTAAAAATTAAGTGGGGGGACTCGGCATCGTACTTTGGTAACTGCGATCTCGGTCCTTCTGACAAGTACAGTTGCCAATTTCCCACTTCGCTGAAACTTATTCTGCCGATTAGCAAAGCACCCACTCGGCCCCCGTAAAGCAACACGCGCTCCGGCCCATCTGGCCTCTTTGTTGATACTGTTGCTGCTGTTGATGGTTGGTTAAGCCTCTGAACATTTTATCATGGCCGGCACATTAAACCGCCCGCTCGTTGCGCAGCTCATATTTTGATGCCTGGTTAAATACCACGCCTGTTACACGCAATATCGCATGCCTTAATGACTTTCCTCGCGCTATTTTTATTCATATATTGTTTTTTTTCTTTCTTCGCAACTTCGAGCGTGGGTGTTGCTCTGGGGTAGAGGGTGAGGAGCAAGGAAGGAGCAATGACAGGGTGGTTAGACTCTAGGGTATAACTGCTTGTTACGCGGAAGAACAAAGGACAAAGCAAAGAGTATAAACAAACGAGCGTTCGTTTGTTTTTACTCCTTGCTTCGTCTTTCTTCGTCTCGCGCAAAGTGGCTAAAAGATGAGTTCGTTACAACTATAGGCCTGCTAGCAATTTCGCTTCAAACTATTTATCTTGATTTTTCGGTCACGGACAACGCTGATTTTTTGCTCACAACCAACGACACTGACGCCGGAATTTTGGCGAAACGAGCGCTATTGCGTTAAGATCTTCGGTGCTGCTAACCAGTACTCGCATTTGAATTTTACTCGCCTATCACGATGAACAATGTCTTGTTGAGGTAAGCTACAGAGACAGGGAATGGTAAGTTCCAGTGACAGATCAGCTACATATATAGACTGGGACCCCAAAGTGTGTTCGGCGAAAGCCTCTGGCCATTCGACTGACTATGTCATGCTCACGACCTGCTCTATAAGTTTATAGAGCAAGGTCGTGGTCATGCTTCTCCAAACAACTTGTTATGGAATCATCACCGGGCTGCTTGGGAGCCATTCGACTAACTCGACTACTCGAACGAGATTTCTGATGAAGGAGCGTTGCCGTGCGCGCCGCTGTGTCATCACGTGATCGCTTAGAAGGCGTGACGGGGCACGGATGGACGGATGGTCGGACGCCGCCGCGGTGCCACACGTCATTGCTGAGAGAGTGTGAGGGGGTGCCGACGCTGTGCCATCACGTGATTGCGGAATGTGAGAAAGCACGGACGGACGATCGAACGCCCGCCGCTGTACCATCATGGTAGTGCAAGTTGAAGAACATCACGTGGTCAAAGCTTCCATAGCTCTTTACTACCGTGTCCCTCATAATCACTTCAGTGTTTTGGGACGTAAAACTCTACATGTTATCATTATTAGTATTATTATTTAAGCCTCATTTACAATAAAGTTTGCACAGCACATCCGAATTTCGAAGAAGCATACGTTCATTATTTAATGTTAAAGTTCACGAATTGTTCTGGAATGTCTGGCTACATCAACAACGTCAGGACAGATATGCTTCCACACTTCGTTTTGAACGTGTTCCATAGGGACACCAACGAGGACGACGAAGTGGCTGGTGCCTCGCGATGCTCGTGCCACACGGGGCGCACTCAGATTCGAACAAGATTCGCTAAGGGCAGGACGGCGAATCCCGGCTCCCGTCCACCGAAGCCTTCCCGGCAACCTTACCTAGCAGCGGTAGTCGAGAAGCAGGCCACGACCTCTCCTCCGAGACCGCTACCAGTCCAGATCGCGGGAACGGCTAGGCGAAGACGTTTCGATTAGCTTTGCCAAATCTCCCAGAAGAGCCATGCAGAATCCGATGGTCCCTCATCCGCCGAGCGGTGCGCCGGGCTCGCCGACTACCGGGAGCGCGACGTTCGGCCGTACGCCATCCACCACCGTCGTCGTCAACCTGAGCCGGGAGAGGTTGAACCGGGGTGGAGCCCGACCCATCTTCCCGTCTTCCAGCGCGCTGCCGGTGCTGCAGAACATGCAGCGCGTGCAGCAACAGGGCGTGATGGGCACGGGACAGCAATCGGTGGGACCAATACAGCAATCCAACCTATTCCAGCAAACCGGAAGTTTTGGGCAGCAGGGATCCCTGGGCTCTGTGCTACCGGGAATGCAGGTAACGTTCCTCCCATTCAAAGGGATGCGTTTACGTGTAACGAAAGAAAGAAATACTCGTAAAAGAAATAGCGCCCGACCTACTTCCAGCTCTTTCTTTCTATAGAATGTTTCTCAGTTTGCGCTGATGTGTCCCTTTGACGTCGATCAACTCGCCCAGCCACAAGTACTCTCCTAACTACGCGATGGCTCGTACGAGATTTGGTTAGTGTTATATAGTGACTTTGTTTTCAGAATAAGAAGCGCTACTCGCACTTTCTCGGATTTTGGTCGACATGCCCGTCTCAATTTGTTTATTGCAATAGAAATTATATGGAAACTCTCCGCTGGTTTTCGCCGCCGTCGTCGGCGTGGGCGTCGATGTCATGCACCGCATATATATATATATATATATATATATATATATATATATATATATATATATATATATATATATATATATATATATATATATATATATATATATATATATGACAACGCAATAAAAAATCGAGAAAAAAAGACTCCGACGCGTGGAACGTGTGCCCTCCGCGTCGTCAGTGCGAGGCGTTAATTACTGAGCCACCAAAGGGTACCTCCTTCATTATTCAAACGGCAAGCTATTTATATCTATCTATTACCGTTGTTGGCGGGCATCTCGGGGGGGGGGGGGGGGCTTTTGAATTTTCAGCATTATCAGCAAGATGGCGCCGTGAGCGGGCGGCGGTGCTCATGTTGGCTCCGGCGGCTCTCGTCTCTCACGCGTACTCTGGCCCGCGTATAAGAAGGTGTACGCTTGATCACGCGCCCTTATTTTGCAGTGGGGAGAAACGTACGTATTGGCTGATGTTGGGCTTGCACTGGAATGATTCTGTTGTAGTTACGGGGCGCACAAAGGTCACTGAAATCGTTGCACAGCCTCCGTTTGCGAAAAGGGCGCGCTTTTCAGACGCAGCGAAGCAACAACTGAAACGGTTATTCGCGTTCATCTGTTCTTGTGAGTACGTTTCGTGCGTCATTTGTGCGTGAGAAACCCGGGGCACATTTCGATCTGCTTGTCATTCTGCGCGTGACCTTCCAATTTGTTGCTATCGCGTTCGTTGCTTCGCCTTTGTGGCAAAGCTGTGACTTTTTGATAGTTAGAAATTTGTCTTCGTTGTCAGTATCAGCGTCAGCGTTAGGCGAGTTTCAAAGAGCGCGTGGTGATTCGACCAGGTGATTCCACAAGGAATCAGCTGAAGCGGTAGGAAGACACGTGCCGAAAAAAAAGTATTATTTATGCTAGTTCGTAATACGGAAGAGTGTGATTGGATGTGTAGGTACACCATGATTGCGAATTCCTATCGGCGCATGAGACACGGGAATGGACACAGCGCTCTATGTAAATTTTTCTGTACCCTCATATCTTTTTGCGCTGGTTAGAATGAGTAATCACTAATAATTCAACCCCAACCAAAATGGGACAAAGCAAGGACCACACGTGAGATTGACCATTCGTTAAACTGCCATTGGAGATGTGTGGTTATTAATGGTTGTGGTAGCACACGCTACGGCTTGCGTCATCCTTATTGTGGTTATGGCGTGTTAAACCCTGGAAGTTAACGACTTTTTTTTTTATTCCGGGGGTGGGAATATGGTCTCCGGATGATTGCCCTCTCTGTAGTCCTGAGATGCACACAGTGTGATAACTGAGTTAAGGGGCCAGTAACAACATTTTAGGTGCTTGAGAAATGACCGCTTCAATCGCGCCTAACCGAATTAGCAAGTCAATATAATGTTTAACGTACAGTTCGTTTTTTACGATGTTTACTAGAGGAAAGTGGT